ACAAATAAACTGGAACAATTTATTGGCAAGTATTGACCCTGACTCGCCAGTAACAAGTCACAAGCTAAGAATCCTGTCATAATTAACAGATACAGGATGAGTCACTCACGCATAAAATGCTCTTGATCAGCAAACACATCATATTCCTACAACAGCTGTTAAAAACCTATCTCTCCATTTACCATTTCCTGCTACCTTTTAGAAATATTAGTACAAAATATTACACAATCAGTCTATCCACCAAGTGATCAAACTAGTCTTTAGAATATCAAGTACCTCCCCAGGTATCACTGCTGAAAAACACTAACTGTAAAGTATATTGGAACAAGTCGGTAAAAAGTAAAAAAATAAGCATTAGACATAAAAACATGACATTTTTGGTGTTTTGAGATGGTTTTTGAGTTCTACTGATAGTAGTGAATCTTTATCCATCTGTGATCTATTTGTCACCATCACAGACTAAAAGGTACGACCATCAGCAAATTGACTGTGGACTAGAGTTCAGTTACATACAGTTTTGCACATAGATATGGTGTATACTATCCATCAGAGAATAATTATTTCTGGACAGAAACTTTGATTGTAAACAGATGGCAAGTAGCATGAGACAAAAGTCAACAACTGAAAATAAAAGAGACGGTGACTTAAGACGAGAGTAAAAGAGCATTAATGGTCCCACTGTAACAAAATGATTAACACAAGAAGCATCAGTACAAGAGAACAAAAACAAGGCGAGCTGGGATCACTGATCTGTCTTAAATGGAAGAAAATGGAGACACAAGGTCATTCGCCTATATATTTGTGTACAAGCATTATTACTGTAAATAATTTAATTTCAATGCAGCTTTCAAAACTGTTATCTTCAGTTGGGAAGGCGAAAAAGCCATTAATGCTTTTGTTCTTTTCCCTTCAAAATGTCAGTCATGGAGGCCATTTCAACAAGGCAGTATACAAAAAAGAAGATTGCATAAAAACAGATCTCTTAACACATGAAATCTGAGCACATAAGGATGTGACCTCAAGGATCTTTAATTTTTTAATTTTTTTTGTGAAATGGATTTAGCCATTAACCTAATATTGTGTCCATGAATAACCATACTGTAATACCAGAACATATTAACTCTACATAGATGAGCATTAATATGAAAACTGATAATGGGCCCTTAGGTAAACAAACACATTTTCATGTGAGTGAGTTTAGCTTTACACCACACTCAGCAAAATTTTAGCTATATGGCGGTGGTCTTTAAATGATCGAGTCTTGACCAGACAATCCAGTGATCAACAGCATGAGCATCAATCTACGCAATTGGGATACAATGCCTTTTCAAGTGAATTAACAAGGGTACCATGGTTTCTTGTTGACTGATGACTGTAGCATGCTGCTGAGGACACGACAAGAGATGATATATAACCAGAATCATTTCCAAAACTTTTATAAACAACAATGACTAAAACATTGTAGTCAAATTCTTGTTCTTCCTAACTCTCATGTAAAACTTTTCTGATAAAGGTGAAACTTCTGCAAATAAAAAAATAACAGATCACCTTGAGTATAAGACTGCATTCTGTTTGGCAGTCTAGCTCGGCAATTAGTTATAGAAAATACTGAGACAACTGTGCAGATTTCCCCAACCCCATGATTAAGTATTTTGGTAAGACTGTCATTATATCTCTAAAAACAGTAGAGAAAGAAACTCAACAGACAGAGGCCCTGTGATGATAAATCAATACAAAAAATGTGAGAGGTTTATTCTTAGAAAACAATCAGTCTTGTTGAAAGTCTGAAAGAGGTTCAACCTATATTCCTCTTGATTACTATAGGTTAACCATAGGTTATCTATTTCTATCTTATTGCCAAGTATGTTATCAATATTATTATAACATTCATTACAGACAATAAAGAAGGCATAGTAAGGACACAAGCTGTGTACATCTCACGGTCACATCAGTAAGACAACGCGTATATTTTCGAGTTTATTTTCATTCAACAGAGCAGAAGACAATGACATTTAATATCACAGCATTTGACTTGATATGATTTCAGCTCACATGTATAATCAACTCAATAAGTGAAAAAAAAGTGCTAACTTGTAATTCATCAAATGGGTGTGGTCTTGTACAATCAAATGATTTGACTTGCTACGACCAGCGTTTAATAAATAGAACTTATACAATACCTGTAACCATACACACAGATCCATTCTCCACACCAATCCAAGCTTCACACTGACCTTCTCAGAAGGTGTGTCCAAACTTTAATGGGCTCTTACACAGTATAGAAGGTTCAGTTGACACTGGCCATATTAACCTGTTTTCTTGCTTCTGATGATGACATGTTATTGTACAAAGAGCAATATCATAAATGTTACTAATCCTGGTAACAACAAGTTGTATATAGATTCACATAAAACATGTCCTATCTGTGTACAATACTACTGAAAATACATATATCCTAACTATGCCCACACAACAGATATGATACTAAAAGATGGATAAAAAAAGGTTTTCATTTTGCAATTAAAGGTCACATAAACCCTAGGGGGTACAAATACATAAATCACTAACTGGCATCGTTATAAATGAAACCCCGTCATTAAAACTACTCATTTCGACCTTTAATTGACTTAAATCGACCTTTTTGACAACAGTGCACAATTCTCACCCGCGAACGAAATTTCAACCAATCAGAGCGGCGCGCGTCTGTGACGTCATATGAGGAATAGCTTTGAGGGCCGATGCAGAATTCATCTACATTTTAGGGGTTAAATTATCTTGTTTACAGGCTTGTATAAACCTGAAATCGTGACAATTGTTGTGGAAAATAAAAGCTATATGTTCTCACAATCTACTGTCATTTAATTTTGTCTCCTGCTTTGCCTAGTTTCTGAGTTACAACTTGTTTTCATAGACGATTCTGTCAAAATCGATTAGTGTCGTTAGGCCCTATTTGTATAATGACTGATCCAAATCGATCCCATTTCTGTGTTTTTTTACCTCGATATTTAATCATGTCATGTAAAAATCTGTTTGTATTCTCAAAACAGTGTCGGCCCATAAGTTTTCACATGCAATACAGCAATTAATACTCCCTTGTTGTAACCCGTGTTAGGTGGTATAAACCTACACATGTTATTTGTCATCATTCACTTGATGGTCAGTTAATGAATTTATAACAGGTATAATTAGAGGTAACACACTTAGATTACCCGACAAAGGTTCCCATTTGGCATTTCTTGTGTCTGGAGTAAATATTCAACATTATAAACATCGATCAAAGGATTAACCGATAACACGCTGATTGATTAATTACTTTTATCTTACACAGCGAATTGTCAAAAGGTAGTGTTTATGTATGTAGATTTACTAATCTATACTGAATACACTCTGCCGTGTCGGTGTCTAGCGTAAAACAACGTCCTTCTTTCAAAGGATTAACCGGCAATACATTGATTGATTGCCGATTATTGGCTAACTAAATTACTGTTTTAAAGAAAGGCGGACATTATGCAATTAGTTGCCAGGTGTGCTATCTTGGGTGACCAATGAGACTATACACCAATACCTGAAAAGATTTATCACTTTTTCGTATATTAAACTGTTAAAAGACACATCATTTGGAACAGTTTGTGGATATTGATGGATACATTCCTCGAACCAGGTAATGGCCTGATATTGTTCCTATAACTTTAATCTGTTTTAATTTTAATAGTTGCATTTTGATTTTATTCATTTGTCGTAGCATTCAACAGAATCATTGTTTTCGCGTGAAGTGTAATGAGTCAGACAACATGCACTAGGGTGTGTGTGCGAATTATGATTCACATTGGCAAACTATAAAATGTCTAGATATTACAGTTCTGTTATAAATTCACTATAAGTATCAGCAGATCGTCTGCTTTTTATTTAGTTTCAAAATGCATACAAGTATGATAATAGACTAATTAGGGATTATAAGACCAAATATAAAGACGCACATTGACTAGTATCTACATACTGGTGAGTGGACATTAACCATGGGAATGTAGCAAGAAATTTATCCCGCCCAGTATTGTGACTTCAACCCCCACCTCGCTTCCGTGGAAGAAATCGTTATGTTATAAGTTGTGTCATGCAAAATCCGTTTGGTTATGATTCCAATACATATTTAACTACGAGTAGAAAGTAGTCTTGATTATCTAACTTGATGAAAACAAACTATAATCTCATTAATTCTAACAGATTTTTTTTTTTTAAAATGGCGAAGCCCTGTCGGGAACATCCGCCAGTCTGAGGATAAATGGTATTTAGGTTTGTTTTCACCGAGTTACGAAATCAAAACTACTTTCTACTGGTAGTAAAATATGTATTTTATTGATGGCCAATAGGATTTTGCATGACATAGCGTATAACATAACAATTTCTCCCAACAGCGAGGTGGGTGTCAATATAATACTACTTACAATATTATTGTTACTTCGACCACAACCTCACTTCCGAGGAAGAAATCGTTATGTTACAAGTTGTGTCATAGAAAATCTTTATGGTCATCAATCATATGCATATTTTACAACAACTAGTAAGTAGTTTTGATTCTTTAACTTCCGTGAAGCGATCTGAACACAAGTAAGATATCGTTTCAGGCTTCCACAACGCCGCCGCACTCACAAACATAACCGATTTAGCCACGAACTGCGGGGTCCTGTGGAAATCTGTGCATGGGGACACCATCGCCCGACCCCTAGGAGCAATTGGCGACAAAGCAGCGATTCGGCATGTCATCGTTGATGTCGAGAAATCATCAAAATGATGAGCGTGCTACACATTTTCTATACAACTAACTGAAAATCGTTCCTCATATGACGTCACTGCAGTGCTCTGGCGACAGAGTTACGTAACCTGTCTGTGGTTTCGTTGGCGGGCGAGAGGGAAGCAGGCGACTTTTTGGCCACTTTTAATCGCTCGGTATTAATTAACCACAAGTTTTTAAAGAATAAATTTGGCGTTCCGCATAAGACTAACCACAAATCTTTCATATGTAATGGTTAAAAGAGTAACAAAAAACAAAGTTTAGTGGTTCTTTAAAGTCTGGAGTTTCCAGAATCAATTTGCTTCCTTATAAAGAGTGAGTGAGTTAGTTTATTTTTACGCCGCTTTTAGCAATATTCCAGCAATATCACGGCAGGGGACACCAGAAATGGACTTAATCCTTATAAAGAACTCAAGCCACTTGATCGGGATTTCTGTTATTGCCTACTTGGGACTATAGTTGTGTGGAGGTAGTTTTCACAGCTGCTTCAGGACCATGTAGGAAATTATAGATATAATAGGGATTTCTATAAGCAGCTATTTCCAGCATACATTATCAGTAACGACAAGTCAAAACAAACATGTATGGTGTTAACAAAGCTATTTTTAAGAGAATCCTACCAGTAAACTGAACAAAGACATAATAACATATCAAGTCCAGAACAAAAGACACTAATATCATTTTCTACCTGCATTTCTACTTTCTAGAGTATTTGGAAATTTCCCTGTAGCATATTGTTGTCAGGAAATGTAAACTGCTTTTGAGGAGCTGTGCTACTGCTCGATAAGTGATAAACATTTATACACACATGACAGTGTATACATACAAATAACCAATCAGCTCAGAGCATTATACATAAGATATATCTTGATAAACAGAAAGTCTGGAATGTGAGGCAGTACAACCTTTGTACGAAACCACAGACTCATATGAACATGTGGGCTGAAATCTCGTGTCATATAGCGGGTTATCAAAGATATTTTATGTTCAGTTTACCAGTTGAAATACTTTGTTTTTCAAATACAAATGTTACCGATATTTTTGTGATACAGTACTTTCATACTCAAACATTTCTCACACAACTGGGTGTACAGAAGTATGTACCACCCAGGTATCAAATCATTACCCTGACCTTCTCAAATCAAATTCCATCTTCTTGTCAACATACGTTGACATTGTGAGCTTCTGATCAGTCACAGTGCAAAATCTAAGTAGGAAGTAACATTATAGTCTAGGATCTCATTTCAACACTATTGCAACTCGTTTCGCTGATTTATAATCATTGGATATAAAAGATATTAAAGTGACATTGCCATATTTAGGGGATATTTAGACAAGATACCTCTTCTACAAGTCGCAGCTTGTCAGACCTGTAAATTCAGCTTGTTACATGCACACACACACACACACACACAAACACACATCTATACGTTCATGTCATCTCCAGCCTAGTCTTCACTCCACTTTCAGCAGTTTACTGTAGTTTTCTTGTTGTTTTTCCCTCCATGATGCTTTGGCCCTCACCCTCTTTAGCTGACCATCCCTGTGGGAACAAGACAAGCATGTTCAGATATAAAAAAGACTAGTATTTTAGGTCTGTCAGTTGATATTCACAACTTTGATAAAACCCACATGCATGGGAGCCAGCAAACAAGAACCAAATCGCCATGGAAGCCAAGTGAAGTTTTACTTTTAGGAAGTCTGTTGTGTAATGCAATGGTAAGTCCATCTGTTGGAAAGGGGTAAAACCTGGATATATGAATTTTATGGTTTTGGCAGAAAGCAGAAGTCAGGAAATAGAAACTACCTTCGGTTGAATCCCATAACCTTGTATTTCCATGGGCATAACAAAATTCTAATTTCAAGACTGAATTATGAGGCAGCATCACAATGTGAAATATGTTAAGTCTTCTCAGAAGAAATAAAATCAGCCAAGAAATACCAGTGAAATCCACATGCAAGAGTATGGTACTGACAGACCAAAGATTTCAAACTCTGAATACATAGCTAAAGGACAACTGCAGAGTGTCATGGAATGAAAACAATTGTAATGTCAACAAGCATTGTCACTAAGGTGAAAAATCCCCTGCTGCAAATTATCAAATCTTTCTTATAAAGTAATGAAATTTTAAGATGAAGGTAAATGTCAACAAAAACATGACCAGTCAACCTCTCTGGATATCTTGCTCTTTAGTTGTTCAAACACACACATATTTTCAAGACTGACTTTGACCTTGACATGAATGTCATAGTGTATGAAATATGCAAAATTAATAATAAAGAAATTCCTTATTTAAAAACATTCGAGGCAAGTCTTGAAAGTCTATGAAGAAAATCCAGCGCACCGTTCTTGAAATATCTGGCTGACAATTCAGGTTGACATGCTGAAATCTTCAAAGTGTCGTCGTGACCCTGAAAATTATGTGAAGGTCACCAAAATCGACTGGGCCCTGCGCCTTCCCTAGATAAAGCTTGGTATTGAATATGAAGAAAATCCAGTGAATAGTTCTTGAGATCGCTTAACATGCAGGTAAAACGTTAAAGTCCCCTTGTGACCTTGAAATGAAAGTCAAGGCCACCAAACCTGACTTGGGCCTTTCTTATACTGTGATGAACCTAGGTACCAAATATGAAAAGAATCTAGTGAACGGTTCTTAAGATATTCCAATTCATACGTACGGACGGAGCCTAATACTATATCCCCCGCTTCGAGCTAAACGTGCGGCGGGGGATAATAATCTTACGTTCAGCTTTTCTACCAGTCTATAAAATGATTACATGTGTTACGGATGTGTTTAGCCCACGGAGAAGCTTTGTCAGCCGCTAGTTCCATGGGCGAGTTACATGGCTTCTAATGTACATAGTCTGAACTGGCCTGAAGACATTATCTCCGAATGTGTACCCTGTAAAGGACTGTTTGTCCTGATAACATTACATAATGGATCATGAAATTCATTTCTGTGTAGGTAGTGAACCTGTACTTACCATTCTAAATCTACTAATCCTCCTTTGCTTGCTATTTCTGACTTAACCCTGTTTGCAAAATCAACTGCAAGTTCGTTTTCCTGAAATCAGAAATGTGAATTATAATCACTAAAAATCATAAAAAAAAATACTACCACTGTTTAGTTGGCTGGAAAGACCAGTTGAATTCACAGACTTTAGGCCAGAAATACTAAACACATACAACCCAGAGTAGGGTACTGACAGACCAAAGATCATAATCAGGACAAAATAAATTCCAACTGAGCTACACAGCTAAGGGATTTAACTGCATAATTTTTAAGCTTTAATGACACAATAATCAATCTTAATCACTGCATTCACAAACTATAAACCAGTAAGCAGAGAAGTCATCTGTGGGTTAACTTGTTATCATCCAGCCAAAACATTAAGCCACAGTTCCAAAGCCTGCATCCAGTTAAACTTCATGTGAAAACACAGCAAATAACATGAAAAAAGCTCTTACGTTATGAAGAACACCTGCAAATGATGCCAAAGACAAGAATGGGCATGGAGGCTCAGATGTTTTTGACACAGGTTGATTGTATGGATGTGATGTCATCACAACATTCTTAAAATATCCAAAAACATTTATAGGGGGCCGTCCCAGAAGTAGCACCCCATTAAGCCTAATAAAAACAGTTGTTCCCCTGAAATATTTTGTTATTCTTCTTGTTTTCAGTACTTACTTTTCTGGACATGGGTGGCAGATACCACACATCACAAACCAGAGCCCAGCTGGTCATGATGCTTATCAGGTGTGCCACCATCCCTTGCTTGCTGCTGTTCCAGAAAGCATCCCCGAACCTGGGGTCATACTGCCAAACACATGACACATACATTACATACACAGCAGACACAGATTAAACAGAACATTACCAAACACTGCATGTACCAGAAAACATGACATCACACTCAAGAGAAACTATGTTGAAGAACTTTCTGTCTGCCTCAATCAAACAAGTTTTCAAACTAAGATGAAGAGAGGTATTGCAATGATGTCAACAATGGAAATTGTATTCAGATATTAATAAGCCAACTAAGGCTTGATAATTACATAAATCAACACAATGAAAAGGGGAACAAGAAGACAAAGTCATCAATATCCCCCGCAATGGCAAAATACTCTTCATGATTATGTCTACGAGTTATGATTATGTCAAATATTTAGGTGTGTATATAGAAAAGTGGAAGGAGAGTATTGAAAGGTTTTTAAAGTTCTGCTCCAGAAAGGAGCACTCCCACCAATTTCAGTCCATGTCAAACTTGTTGCCATTGAAATGCCAAAAATATTTTATTTCTGAAATCCAAAACTACCAAAAGGCACCAGTACACCACCAGATCTATGTATGTGCCAAGTTTGGTGAAGAAACAATGAACAGTTTTAGAGTTCTGCTCCGGAAAAGTGCACTACCACTAATTTCTGTTTTAGTCAAACTTGTTGCCATGGAAATGCCAAAAAATATTTTATTCAGAATTCCAAAACTACCAAAAAGGAACCAGTACACCACCAGATCTATCTGTGTGTGCCAAGTTTGGTGAAGAAATAGTGAACAGTTTTAGAGTTCTGCACCGGAAAAGAGCACTACCACCAATTTCAGGCTAAGTCAAACTTGTTGCCACGGAAAAGCCAAGAATATTTTATTCAGAATTCATAAACTACCAAAAGGCACCAGTACACCACCAGATCTATCTGTGTGTACCAAGTTTGGTGAAGAAATAGTGAACGGTTTTAGAGTTCAGGGCCTAGATTTTCAAAGCTCTCTTAGCGCTGAGGTAGTCGTAGGTTAATGTTAATGTATGGCACTTACGACTATCTTAGCGCTAAGAGAGCTTCGAAAATCTAGGCCCTGCACCGGAAAAGAGCACTACCACCAATTTCAGGCTAAGTCAAACTTGTTGCCATGGAAATGCCAAAAAATATTTTATTCAGAATTCCAAAACTACCAAAAGGCACCAGTACACCTCCAGACCAATCTATGTGCCAAGTTTGGTGAAGAAATAGTGAACGGTTTTAGAGTTCTGCTCCGGAAAAGAGCACAACCACCAATTTCAGGCTAAGTCAAACTTGTTGCCATGGAAATGCCAAAAATATTTTATTCAGAATTCCAAAACTACCAAAAGGCACCAGTACACCACCAGACAAATCTATGTGCCTTTTTTGTAAAGAAATAGTGAACGGTTTTAGAGTTCAGCTCTGGAAAAGTGTACTACCACCAATTTCAGACTAAGTCAAACTTGTTGCCACGGAAACGCCAAAAATAGTTTATTCAGAATTCCAAAACTACCAAAAGGCACCAGTACACCACCAGATCTATCTATGTGCCAAGTTTGGTGAAGAAAAATGAACGGTTTTAGAGTTCTGCTCCGGAAAAGAGCACTACCACTAATTTCATTCTAAGTCGAACTTGTTGCCATGGAAACATCAAAAATGTTTCATTCAGAATTCCAAAACTACCAAAAGGCACCAGTACACCACCAGATCTATGTATGTGCTAAGTTTGGTGAAGAAATATCAAACGGTATATCGAGTTCTGCTCCGGAAAAGACAAATGTGCACGGACGGATGGATGGACTCGGAGTCCATTTTAATACCCCCCGCAAAACGCATTGCGGGGGATAAAAAAGAAGCATTTTTTGACAATTTCAAACAAGCTCATTTCCCACCTTGTCAGTACTCAAACTAAAATAAACTACCCATAATCTGAAGTGGTTGTAATCCTTTCTAACAAACCACATTGGCAAGTTTGAAATTAATGTTATATGTCAGGGGTGGATCCAGAGGGGGCTGAAATTCCCTGAGGAGCATTTCCCCCTAACGTTTGGACTTCATGATCTATGTGCACCCCCACTTCTCCAATATCCTGGATGTGCCCCTGTATATGTATTATTTATAATTGATGCAACTATAGAAGCTATCAACTTCTATGCAGACTGTTAACAAACTTATTAACAATGTAACAATTCCTATTGTGAGAGTGCTATCCAAGGTTAATAGTTCAATATATCGTTACACTTGCACTGGTTATTGTGTGTATGAGACAAACATAAAACACATGTAGGTAAATCCCTTACTTTTATAGCTACTGGGTATATTGTTGTTCCAACTTCAAAGCTTCCCTTTTTAAACATCATAACAGAAGTGTTATTAATGCAAGTACCTGGATAAAAAAATAAAAACAAACCAGTCAAGAACAGTAATGAAACCACATTGCAAATATTAAAAGGAGACAGCTCTTAATTTGAAGGAGAATGTGAAAGAGAGTCATAAAAATATATAAACACACAGTTCATTGCTAGGGCATATTTTTGGTCATTAACATTTACAGAGATTATGTATGTATGTTCCTGTGTGTATAAGATGACTAATAATTTGAATGGGAGATGAGTAGTAGAAAAGTGATGCTGTTATAAATTGTGATGTCCCTTCCCATGTGACATTGGATTGGTCAAAACATTCATACACTTGGTTACAACCTCATAACTTTGCAGCTCTTAACATACAGAGAACATTTATCATAAGCTATTATTCATCTTTTTATTAATGCAAAAGGTAAATATCAACATTACCATCATGTCATGCTATCTCATATTAGTGTACATCAAGCGTGAACAAGTGGTTTTCAGCTGTTTTTAGCAATAAATTGCAGATAGGAATGTCAAGATGTCTTTATGCATCTGTACATGTTTAATACTGTATCTATTAAACAAAGTGAAGTATACAAGTACCTTCTGGAAATATTAAGATAGGGAGTTTATCTTTATCCTGTACATGTTCTCGTAACCTGAAAATATAACCACACATACATATGCACAATGGTGTAATGGCATAGCTTAGCAAGGAATATCTTCAACCAACTGTTGAAAGATTACATGTGCAACCTGTCCAACAGTCCAGCAACTCACCTGTTAACAACTAAATTTCTGTCTTTAGCTTCAGACCTCTCAAACCAGATATGTGCTGTGGCTCTGGCCATTGCTCGCTGTAGGATTCCCAGCAAGCCTCCTTGTGACTGGCCAATCTGGGGAGACAAAATGGGATTTCTAAATAACCAAATGTAAGGCTAATTCACATTATATATATGGGCTTCTGGCTTCTTTATTCACGCTTGATCTCATTTAGTTAGAAATACAATCTCAAATGATTCTCTGAATCTTCCAATATTGACCCAACAGTTTAATTTTTTTTAATAAACATGCAAAATAATTATTCAACATTCAAATGTTAACCGATGAGGGAACTTTCCTTACAAAAAAATCCCTTTTACACAAATGTAGGCAATTATCAGAAACATTACCAGATGGTACCTTTTCACATTTTATGTTGAATTTGAGATGCTTTTATCTTAATAATGAGTGAGTGAGTTTAGTTTTACGCCGCACTCAGCAATATTCCAGCTATATGGCGGCGGTCTGTAAATAATCAAGTCTGGACCAGACAATCCAGTCATCAACAGCATGAGCATCGATCTGCGCAATTGGGAACCAATGACATGTATCAACCAAGTCAGCGAGCCTGACCACCTGATCCCGTTGCGTAGTTGCCTTTTGTGGCAAGCATGGGTTGCTGAAGATCTATTCTACCCTGGATCTTCGCGGGTCTTATCTTAATAATATACTTAAACATGTTAACAATGATACTGGATCAGTAACTCCATATCAAGCGTCACCCATTTGAAGAAAAGGTATAAAAAATAATAACATAAGTTCAATATTTTCATGGACAAAACATGAATAATTGAACATACATGTTCTTTTTTGACACATGAACTTGAACTATTGTAATGTTAATTTGGAAGCAAGTACTTTATATATTTGAATCCCTTTATTTTGAAAACAAACAACATATGGTCCTATTCAGTTAAGAGAAGACAGCCACAGAGAATATGTTTCTGAGGTGCAGTGAGATCAAAGTCATTGCTAAACAATCTGTGAGCCAGTCCATCAGAACCAACACCTCTACACCACACTGCAGTCACAGCTGGTAACAGTAACTAATGGAGCAATTTACTGAAACAGTGCAATCAGATGTCTCTAATGGCTCTTGAGGACAAATTAATTGAGCTATATTCATTTCAAACACCAAATTGATGAACTAACTTGGCCATCTTGTGTGATAAACAAACAATTCTTATGAGCAGATGCACCACTCACCACTAAAACAACTTCTATAATGGGTAAATGATCATGACAACCAACTGAAATGTCACATACCATAGCATAGCAATTATCCACTGACATAATGATGACATCGATGGGGGAGGTGTGATTGGCAACACAGATACCATTCCTGGACCGATTGCCTCTGATGACGAAATCAGAATAAAAATAAATGAAAAACATTGCAATGAACAGGTGAACATGAGGTTACATTAAACTATAGTGTCAGTTTATGTCCCATCTAACCGCTACAGAGAAATATACTCTCAAATCAGACCCACAGCCAAAGCTTGGTTAACAATCTGAAAGTGACCTTCAAAAATAAGTTTGTTGAACACAAAATTTTACATCGACATTACTAATAACATTTGTATCACTGTTCACAGGATAAAAGTTGTTTACATACAGGGGATATTTCCCTGTATCTGTTCAATGTTGTTAGAGTTGACAGGCTCTGTGGAATATATTTTATACAAATATAAGATAAGAATTAGAGGTAGGGATTATTTTCTTGCCTGAACAAAAGGTGAGGGATTCCTTTAATTTACAAATATTCAGACAGGCAATATTTGATACTTACTCATCATGAAATGTAATGATGGCTGAACAGGCTCGGGCTAAAATCCGGAAGCACATGAGCATTACATATTCATTTAATGCCCTCTTCGATCTGAAATATATGATGCAATATTACACTGTTGACAAGTCCAAATCATTTTCATGGAAATCATGAGAATTATGAATGCCAAAAATCTGTAAATAGCAAAACGCACCATTTCAAAATTTGCCTAATATATCTGCCAAGTTCTGTTGAAAGATACTAAACGCTTTTCGAGTTGTGCTCCGGAAACGAAGCCCACCCCCCCTTTAAGACTAAGTCCAAAACGTTTCCATGGAAACCGAGAAATATAAAAATGACAAACATCTGTTAATAGCAAAAGGCACCACCTTAGGTTCTGTTTGATATTTCTACCAATTTTTGTTGAAAAATATTGAACGGTTTTGGAGTTATGCTCTGGAAACAAAATGATTACGGACGGATGGACGGACAGAGGGACGAGGCGTCGACTATATCCCCCCGCATTACATGCCGGGGGTATAAAAAATCTATTAACCTGTTACCATGGCTTCCTTCTTGTAAAAAATAACAGACGTTAATACAAGCAGTGAGTGAGTGAGTTAGTTTGGTTATAAGCCGCTTTTAGCAATATTCCTGGAATATCACGGAGGGGGACACCAGAAATGGGCTTCACACATTGTACCCATTAATAAAAGTAGTATTGACGGTATTATACCAATGAGTATTACAATACATACAAAGATTTTCCAGAGCTTGTAGGCAAATAGGTATCAGTGATAAATCTGTCATCAACAACAGAGATAAGGTAGTATTAATATCTGAGTCAACACTTTAGAATATACCGCTACAATGTAACACTTTTACATCACATTAATTAATCATCAGGAATATTGATTGGATATCTGTTGTGGAATGACGATTAAATATATGCACTTCTTAGTGAGAAAGTAGAGCCTTAGAAATATACTCCACCCATATCACACCAAAGGAACATTAGTCATGGAGTTCACACATTGTACTCATGTAAGGAAATATACCCAGGCCTTGGTTTGATGAAAAACTCTACATCATTTCCTGGTCAAACTTGGAAAATTTTATCATCATTAAGAAGTATAAACATGTACATTCTTAATAAAGGAAAAGCATTACACTTACAATATTTATACATATATTTACTAGTGTATTCACCCCAAGACAGATGCCACACAATACATAACATTACCAGACTGTACCCTTCTCTCATGCCTGTCTGATCTTATTACTTCCTTCTACCAGCCAGGACATTTCACAACACAGTCTGTCATCACAAAAACATGATATGGCTTTGTCTTGTTAGCACACTTTAATCAAATTTTACTTTTAAATGCTTGAAATCAATTGAAAAAATATGTACTGGAATGTTTTCTAATCAATAAACACAATATAGCTTTGATCCAAAGGGAAAGCCTATACATATTTTAAAAAACTGCTTTAAGATGATGTTTGTGAATGTGCACAAGAGGATGTAAATATTTTTTCTCACCTTCCTTCAGGTAGATAGCCGATAAATGCTGTACATATGATGAGCCATCCCACGCCTAGCACTGCTATGATCAATCTGTAATACATGTATATACATCAGAGGGCACATGGAAGAATGTCATTTTAAACATTCAACAATGCTTAAACATCATAAATCAATCTTAACACCATAAGAAAAAATGAAACAATCTTCTTATGGTCATATCTCATTTATATGAACTACTATAACATTAATCTCACCAACATGTACTTTGTGTCGTTTTCAATAACAACTGCATGAGATTTGAAACATTCTAAACAACAAAAACATAAAATCATATAACTATAATACAAGAAGACAAAGTCATTAATATCCCCCACAATGGCAAAATACTCTTCATGAACATGTCTACAAGTCATGATTATGTCAAATGTTTTGGCATGTATATATAACGTAAGTGGAAGGAGAGTATTGACAGGTTTTCAAGTTAAGTTTTAACCACCAAATTCAGTTGAAGCCAAACTTGTTGCCACGGAAACTCAAAAAATGTTTCATTCAGAATTCCAAAACTACTAAAAGTCACCTGTTCACCACTAGACCTATCTATGTGCCAACTTCGGTGAAGAAATATTGAAAGGTTTTAAAGTTCTTCTCCGGAAAAGACGAATGTGCATAGACAGATGGACAGTCATTTTAATACCCCCACAAAACGTGTTGCAAGGAATAATAAACAGAACATATTTAGTTTGCATAATGCTCCTAAGGTAGTTTAGTTCAGCTTCATGACATTGGTGTGTGGAGACCAAAGGCATCCAAACAAAGATAGCCTGTGACACACAAAGTTCTAGCTTTCCAAATGTAAATTATCTTAATGTCATTTACAGGATTTAAATTACAAGTAAACAACAATAGAATTTCTTTTAAATACACCCAAGACAAAATATTTGAAATCAAAAGACAAGAGGGGGTTGATTCTATTTCCCATCCCAAAACATTATTCCAACTTTCCAGACAGTAAAAACTCGTGGCTTGAGTGTAAATTGAGGTTAGAGTTGTCATGTGATTGTAGCATCATGGCAACTGATGATATCACAATAGCTGGCATTACATTGTCATGCAGTGTAATGAGACATTGCTTAATTTCCCTTCAACAATATCTTTTGTGGAAGCCTGTTTGGGATGATAAATAAAACAATGTGATATCTGTCAAATATGCAGCATCAATGCTATCAAACAAAAAGGAGTTTTATTTCTTACCTAAAAGGAAACAGGACAAAATATCGAACTAAAAATCCAACACACCACAAAAAGGTCAGTCGGAAACTGAAACAGAGCATGTTGCATTATTACTTGATGAAAGATATACAACAATGATTCGGGTTTCATGACATGCCATCATCTCAACACCAATGTAGCAGTGTGTCAAAAGATCTGTTGTAAATTAAGTGACTGTTTGACATTGTCAAGCTTAGTTATTCCAAATACTTTACAGCTGAAAAAGCCAATGGGCAACCTTACACAATACAGCTACAAAATTTAAACACTTGCATAGTTTATACATCATGTAAGATACCACACACACTCAAAAATAAACTATAGTGCAGAACACATGAGATCTTAATTACATTTTTTACCTTGTCTATAAACATGATTAGTCAAATAGCTCACCTTATGAAATGGTACCCTGATATGTTGGATCTGGATAACAAATTCCATGAGTTCAATTCTTCTGCCGAAAAACGCTTTGTTACCTCATCTTCAATGATAGCCTAAAATTAATCATTACAATTAGTAAAACATGAAATATGGCCACAACCAAATCAATTTCAAAAGGCAGTAAGTGACAGCAATATGTTCCAATCACAGCTGACATAACAGAGAACATGTTGTCAAGTATCAGACAACCACCCACATAGAGAGAAAATGTTTGAAATTTACTTAGCGTGAACTGAATCTATTCCCAGCAAAGATCACTTGGCCCATCACAGACAGCCACCATCCCCCTACACATTTCCATGGTTGTCCATCATACATATTAGCTGTTATTCAAGCCTTTCATCTTACCTCCATGCCACATTTTGCGAAGTACATTGTATCTGCAAGATGGAACTCCTTCTTGATTTCATCCACACTTGGGATGTAACTGTCAGGAATAATAAATCCTTGGGTTGCTGATAAGGTAATGTCCCTTTTGATTAAGTTTGTCTGTCCTGAAATATAGCAACAATAAACAAACTGCAGCCAAAAATATCACATAAACATCAACTGTATCACAAAAGATGCATGTTTCCTGCATGAAGGTTTAAGCACTCATATTAACACTCACAACATCAAGAAAACATGAACATAAAATAGACTATTTGGTACTTAATAAGCATGATAAACTAGAACATCTGGAAGCAATGTTTTAATTATATATTTTTTGTCCAAAAGGTTTAAACTAAAAATAAGGTATATCAGTTGTTACCATTTTCATTGACACTTGAATTATCCACAATGACTTCATCATCCAACTTTTCCTCCTCCTCCTCTGCTTGAGTGGACTTGTAGTGAGCTATCTTCACCCGCCCAAACTGAAATAGCAAGTTTCATGTCAGTGTTGCAGATGACATAATCTCTTACAATCTCTTGATGTCCAATATCATGATAATATCATTCGTCACACAGGCTTTTACAAGACACAGAAATAGGAGTTCAGTACGCACAAATGTACAAAATGGATGCAGAAACAATATCTATTGCTTCAAAATGATAGTCTCCATACCAAATTCTTCACAAGAAATATAAGGTTCATTCAATCCAAATAATTACCAAATTTTACAGCTCAGTACAAAACACCACATCACTTTTTTACAGGAACATCATATGGACCCCTAGTTTTGGTAGGTCCAGGTATCACCCTGCTCACAGCACATGGCATGTCTAGTTTCTGTTTCACAGTTTGGAGAACACCACCAGAACTGTAAATAGTGTGATGAAGGTGACTTTCTTGACATGGACCAATGACCACATTTCTTTAGTAGGGTTGGCTAAAGTGAGCGAGTGAGTTAAGTTTTACGCCACACTCAGCAATATTCCAGCTATATGGTGGCGGTTTGTAAATAATCGAGTCTGGACCAGACAATCCAGTGATCAACAGCATGAGCATCGATCTGTTGAATTGGGAACCGATGAGATGTGTCAACCAAGTCAGCAAGCCTGACCATACGATCCCATTAGTCGCCTCTTACGACAAGCATGGGTTACTGAAGATCAATATTCTAACCCGGACCTTTACGGGTCGGCTGGCTAAAGAGATTGATAATCGGAAATATAAAAAGAAATGAGAAACATTGTTAATGATTATCGATATGAAATTGTGTCATTGATCAGAGCTACAGATAACTTTTGGGGTCATTGAGTTATGTACTCGCTTGTGTTCATCTCAATTGGGTATCCTAATTTTCTTTTGAGTAACCATATAAATTGTACTCACCTCACTCAAACTCAATTGGGTATTTTGCCATTTTCCATTAAGTGTAAAAATATAATAAAGTTTAAATGTTACTGTTTGTTATTTATATTTGATCTGTAATATGAGAAACGATAAAAAAGACTGCAAGTTGTCAAGTTCATGTCCTGAAATAGAACCCCTTCAGTTATTTATCTATCCACTGGTACGCAAGCTAAGATTTGACATTTTTGTGTGTACGCATGTAAGATCACATTCATTGAGTATTTACAAAAATTCAAGCGTACTTGTACGCAATAGACTTAATAGGAATGGAGTTTTCCAGGGCTCCAGATATTTTTTCATGATCAGGAGTACGTACTCCTTATGTATTCAAAAAAGGAGTACTGGAAAACCTTAAGAGTACATTTAGAGTACTGAATGGAAATTAATGGAGTATCAGTAATCTTGTGTTTCGTTTCATATATGCACCACAACATAGCTACTTTTGTGTAAACAGGTCAATAAGCAATAAAACAATACTTTTTTCAGATAAATATGTCTGTAAATGATTCTAAGACCGTACACCATTGCTGTGGTGCGTATCTGCTACGCTTTCAAAATTATTTCCTACCGTATCTTGCATATTTTTTATCCGTACATACGCTCTTATCTGGAGCCCTGGTTTTCATATAGATCTTTGTGTAATTTACACAGATACGCAGATTATCTGTACCTCTGCACTGATAATATCGTACTAGAACTATTGTTATGAAATATAGTGTTAATTTATTACAAAATGCACGTCTTATTTATGGGCGGCTTCCAAATTATGTTCAGCACACAGTTTTGTTTGTAATCTATGCATACATTGTCAACACTCACTAAGATATTTATCGATAATCAGTCTATATTTATAGTCCATTTGCAGAAAAACCGTACCGATGAATTAAATATACATTAAAAAGCAACAAATTGTCTCAAATGGCATGAAAGTTAGTCAATTGTATAAAGCTGTAAAGATGCATCGTACTATCGATTGATTGCAAATGAAGAGTCTCCAATAGCAATTAATCGATAGTAGAGCCGAAAAGCTATCAGTGCATTGATAGTATCTGTGACTATCAATAGTTTAGTAATCGACTTCCATTGATAAATGCGCAGCGCAAAATACAGGAAGTACCAGACTCATTCACTTTGTTTTAGAGTTATGCGTCCCTTTTACCTCTTAAACTAACATGGCGGCAAACATGTCATGCATCTCGGAGTTTGAAAATGTGAATAACAATATGTTTATGTTTCAACTGTTTACTTGATCTGGGTTTCAACTTTCTTGTCAGTTATTAAAAGAGACTGAAACTACTTCAACTAATTTGTATTTCATATAAACTATACATTCATTTGGGAAATGACTTCAAATGTGGCAATTCAAGGAGAAAAAAACTATTGCCATAGTATTGCAATAGTTGGACTCAATAGACTATTGCTATCACGATAGTATGTTGCAACAGACTATCGCTATCACAATGTTGTTTCCCCCTCAACAGTCACCCCTACAATTGCTCATACCAAATTGTCACTATAATTTCATACATGTGCATGAAGGAGAAGAAAGTTTCTTTCACAATGGTGTTTTAAGGACTGTTGTTTATGATTGTTGCAAGTTGGAAGGGGAAAGAGGAAGACCCTATTTTGCATTTTCAAAATACCTGAAACGTGCAGCAGCGTTTCAAAGCCTTTCTGAATGTAAAATGAAGTACTTATGTTAGAAAGAGTCCAGGAATTCAACAAGTTCATATCTTTGCATCTGTTGAAGAAATACATGGTAACTGAGCATTATTTAATTGTGTCAAAGCACTGCTTCTGGAAATATTTGCACCGTTTTGAATACAAATATAAGAAAAGTGTCGGCAACAGCAGGCATGTGTTATAAGAATCAAGAATGTAGTGTCTCCAAGAAAATATTACCTGCGAACCAAATGCATGAAGCGGAAACAGGGATATGAGGTGATTTACCTGGATGAAACATGGGTCAATGCATGTCATACTGTGCAACATCAGTGGGGATCGTCAGATGTGAAAACCTCACATAAACTATCTTTAGATGAAGGTGAGAGAGTCAGAGAGACTGATGTAAAAGTAAAGGATTTCTTACAGGATGTGCTTTGATATTTTGTGTCAAATGTAAACAGAACGGATATAAATGAAATGAACAATCAAGTCTTTCTGGAATAGGTGGAGAAACAACTACCTCTGGTTCTACCTCCAATATCGTTGATCGTTATGGACAATGCTCCCTATCACAGTGCACTAGACCAAAACAGAAGGGCACCAACATCAAATTCCAGAAAGGACGACATGATAGCTTGGCTTGAGTCATTTGACATTCCATTTCCTACTATGAGAACCAAACCTGTGTAGAAATTGCCCTGCAATCACATGGATACGAGGTCCTGAGACTACCACCCATTTTTACCTGAACCCTACAGAACTTGTCTGTTGCATTGTGAAGTATGATGTTGGCAAAAGCGATACAACATTCAAATTGTCAGATGTGGGGAAACTGGTCAGAAATAGTTTAGACAACATTGGTAAAAACACTTGGGCCAAGTGCATTGACAAAGCTGAGACCAAAACTGAAGCTTCATCACGTCCTCTACTGTTCTTATTGGGGAAACGATGGCTTACATCATGCAACAGTCAGTCAAATTGTTATTTCAGTTGACAGTGACAGTGACAGTGACAGTGACAGTGATAATGAAAATATTTCAAACTAGAACTTTTGAGGCTATCCGTGTGTTCCCTGATATCCTTTAGCTGTTCTGTTTAGGCCAGATGAATTTCATTTCTTGTTTTACAGATTTTTTTCCCACAGAAAAAACAGGCAGGATGGAAAACAATAAAAAATAAAAATCACCAGTCAAAGTAGTATTCCTATTAAATACTAAAGAAAATGTTTTTGTTGTTGTTTGTTTTTTGTTTGTTTTGTTGTTGTTTTTTTTGGGGGGGGCAATTGATGAAGTGTATATGGGGCAAACAACAATCAAATTTTTTTTTTTTTTTGTAAGTTTACTTTTTTCACCAATAAAAACTTAATGATTGGTTCAAACGGATCAATATCAATAGCCGACCCTACACCTTAGTAAAGAAGTGAGTAAGTTTAGTTTTATGCTGCATTTACCAATATTCCAGCAACATCATGGTGGGGGACACCAGAAATGAGCTTCACACATTGTACCCATGTGGGGAATCGAACATGTGACGAGCGAACACTTTAACCACTTAGATAACCACATTGTTATCAATGGGTTGTAGACAGCCTGAGCATGGAATATTCCATCAATGTGATACCTTGCTCAAACAGGGGCAGGTATGGCTCTTGGTTCATTAGTCCGAGGCTAGTGAATATCTTGACTGACACATTTGCTATCAGAACTAGTTATTTCACGCAACCAACTAGTATATGACAGCTTGCCCAATTACTTATTCACATATCAAATTAAGCATGAACATGAAGGGGTACTTTTCTTAGCTGTTGATTCACAACAGTTGAACATCAAACACATAATCAAACACATAGATCATCTTCAGATTCCAATTTCCAATATTATAGAAACAACTGAACTCCTGTAGTCATCCCAACCTCCCCTATAATTTTAGACTCTGCCAATGTTTTCTACCAATGCCATTAGTGCCAGCATGTGATTTGAATCTATTATAACTCAGCAAATATGGAGCAGGATTTGCTGATGGTTCAAAAATAACAGTAAAGGCAGACAAATGATCTTTTCTGGTCTATAATCTAATCTTGATCTGATAAGTGACAGTAATATGATTGTAGACACCTCCATCATCACTGCCTGTCTGTCTCAGTCCTTCATTTTAACCATTAGTTATGAAATTGAGTCAAGTGAAATTTGTTTTGGTCTTGTAAATTTTATCTAAAGAAAGTCTGTACATTAACATGATGATCTAATGTAAATGTTGTCAAGTGACAGACAGGTTAAGGCACAGACAAATGTCTAGACATATTTATCTACATGCTGATAACTGTGCCCTTACATAATGCCACACATAATCTGATTGCTTCAAATTTGAATGTAATCACTATTTACTTGCTACAGTGAACCAAATCGACAAAATCTGCAGTTTCTAATGCAACAGATTACCATATCAATTCATGTCGCATTGTCATGGTGAATGTTTGTAATCAATGGACTTCCTGGGGTGCTTTAGTTTTCACACTTCTCTACTCTCATCAAAGGATGAACTGATTTATATTTTTCAACAGGAAATAGGGTAATGACAGGTGTGCCAATACTTTTGTTTTTGATTACAAACAAGTGCAGCATTCAAAACATGTAGGTCAAGATGTCCTCATCACAGCCCTTTCATATCTGTTATGTCATGCTGAATATTTGGCTTCAAGGGCTCCTCAGATTTAAAAAAATGTTTGAAATTATGGGGTCTAAGAGTGTTCTCTTCTATAGTTTTTTTATCAAGGTGGACCACTGGTTTTAACACTGGAATAATGACAAGGACCTCACAGATTATATTTTGAATTGTGAACTCTACAGGAGCATACCTGAATGACACCATTTTCCCCTTATATTGGCATACTCAATTGTTTACATATATTTTTCAGTGCATCTGATGTGTGTGTGTGCTTGTTGTTGAAAGACACGCTCAACAAAATATGACAATGGCCTGTAAATAATAGAGTCTGGACCAGACAATCCAGTCATTGATATCTGTGATATTAGGAGCAATGATCCCTATCTTCAAGGTCCAATGACACACTATCAACTTTAGTCACCCACACCTGTCCATTCAACCCACTTGGTCACATCTTATGACAAGCACAGGTTGTTGGGGGCTAGTGTTGGGAATTGGCTAAAATCTCATAATTGATGATTGGTTCATTACAACCGATCAATCATCGAAAATAATTGGTTAGCGTCATTTATGAAATTTTCCTGGTTATTTTTGTTTGCACAAAAACATATATTTATTTTGGGTTTTCTTTGTGCAAATTACACATCTTTAAAGGATGACTTGTATGTAAGAAACATAATTTTTTTTTGGTCTTTAAGATCAATTCAATCATGACTTGGAACGAGCTTGTAGTGCTCATGAAATGTAACTGACAAAACCAACCGTGTGAAAAATTTAGTCAATGCAAAAAGTTTTCCAGAATTGTTTGTGTTCGATAATGAGAAAACATGATCGATTGCTTGGTCGTTTAGTCACTGCGACCAATCTTCGATTATTTCAATTAATCGGACCACCACTACTGGGGGCAACATGGAATGTTTCATTTTTAAAAATACATATTGTATGCGAGCTGTTGTTTGCTGGTCAAACATAATTACCATTGTGTAAAATACTTGCTATTAGCAATCTAAAAGTTATTGAGGGTCAACTGTGAAAACTAAAACATGAATTGAAATTTGTCATTACTGAACACACAACAGATTCGTGAAGTTCTTTATCCCGGTTACACGTAGATACAACTCCATTTCAAACAAGGCACAAGGAAATAGGTACCAGTAATACAGTGTTCAGGAATGGTGTTTCAAAGTCACAGGACATTGGGTCCTGTAAGTTTCAGATGACTGTCTGACCCATTGAAAATGCACAGGACCCATGGAATAAAATTAAACACACATTTCAGATTTAATATTTCTTATAATTGACATTGAAATTATTAACAAACATAAGATTTATAAACAGCAAACAAGTGTCACATGTCACATAAAACAACTTCAGTCAAAGTCATTTGTGAAATATACAGTCAGACACTGGGGCCGGCGGGTTGTAGACTTCTGACCGTTGGCGAATCTGCCGGATTTATCAGAGGGTCAGATGCTATTCGTGAACACTGGTAAAACACCCCTTACAGCCCCTTCTAAACTAGCACCATGCTACCTAAAAACAATACTTTCATAGGCAAATTATCTTCAGCTGAAGTACTTATTCTGATGTATTTTTCAATATATTTAGTGAAACACTCCTTAATACACCTCCGTGAATAACTAATTGTATTCATGAATGGATACGGTTTGATTCACCAAAGATGTGAGTGAATCATACAGCCTTAATTTTTAGTACTTTACAGGTTTATCCATAGAAGGCACATCACCCCTGTACTTATACAGTACAGTAGTTCTTAAGAGTACAGAGGCCCAGATAAGCTGCGTATCCGGGTAAAATACGCATAGAATTACTCACTGAAAAATAATTGTTGCGCACCAATTACGCATTTAAAATGTTAGATACTGCAAAAAGTTTCAAACAAATGCGTACGGAATATATTTATAAAAATCACTTGCATAATGAAAAAGACATCGATTGCTATCAAGTTGTACTGTTAGTATAGGACAAGTGTTGTAATGTCAGTATAGGATGAGTGTTTTTTATGAAATAATTTCCATTATATTTAAGTTGGTTTTGATTAGGTATGACATAAGGCAGAACATACCTGCTTAGTAAACTTACTCAATGACGTAATACTTAGGTGAATAAAGTGACTGAAATACGCACATATTTGAAAGCAGTGGGTAACGGAAAATGAAATACCCACTCAACATTCATAATACCCACTCCTAAAAAATACAGTGGGTACAGTACCCACATGAGCTAAATCTTATCTGGAGCTCTGAGAGTAGTTGCTATTTCTAGCAAATGAACTAAACTTAAACAAAGTTCATGGTTCATAAGAGAAAAGTGAGTGAGGGATCTCAAATAATAACAATGGCATTTATATTACGCTGTCCCCACGCCATGTTGGTATGCTCAAAGCGCTTCAACACATTATTACCCCAAATAACCCAAGCTGCCTGTTAGACACTAGGTTACAGTCACATGACATCCCGACGGGTACCCATTTTCTGCTGGGTGAACAGAAGTAAGTTTGAACAAACTCACTTGCCTAAGGTGAGACCACATGTATCACATGTGCTTTGTTGTGGGGCAGGACTTTAAGTCCTAGAAACTCTCAGGAGTCAAGCGGCCAAACACGATCACCCATCTAAAGACTCTCCACGCCCACCGATGCTTAACTTAAGCTGATTTCTGACCTGAGCTCTCTGCACAGTACCACATATCACCATTTTGGGTATCTTTCTGAACATGTGCGCACTATACATTGTTTTATTAGGATACAATGGTACTGATCGCACAAAGTTCATGCTCTGAAAAAGTTCTTCTGTGTCTTGAAAACAATCTCCTCTAATTAACATAAAAATGAAGACAGGCATCATCATGTACTGATATAGTGGGTTCATCTTGTACAACAATTTTACGCAATACTTTTGAGTATACTAAACGGAAATATTAGTTGTGCAGAAAAAGACTCCTTCAGTCATAGTGAGCACATGTATTCACAAGTGATGGAGTAACAAAGTGCACACCACCTGCTTAGTATTGATGGTGGTAAATATATAACAGCTCAATCTGAAACTGAACAGATTTGCCATCACAGTGAAGAAACAACCTGTGTGAAAAAGTAATCAACTGGACATCTCTAAAGTTCTAGTGCACAATAACTTTAAAATAACACCATGGAAAACAAGGATTCTATTAACATAAGAATCTTTATAGGATGTCAACATTTTCACAGAAACAATATAAGATTCTTATAATTCAAAGCATCTTAAACAGGCCCCAGAATTGTAAATGAATGATTATCAGCTGATTGTTGCGGCAAATGGATGGGTGCAGTTACAGAGAATAGGACATCAAATAAGGCGACATTTTTAAATATTATTAAATGTAATCTTTAAAAATATTACTTGGTTACCTGTGTTTCTTACATGACAATGTAAAATGACAGCGCTACAAAAATTATGAAATGTTACAGTTTTTCACCTTCACTGATTTGATATCTGAACTTGACAAAACAGTTACTCTCAGTGAATGCAGTAAGTTCAGTAACCCCGTCTACAAACACTGGTGCTATCACGGTAAAGCCACTGGCCCCCCACACGCCGGTCATGCCCTAAAACTGTCACCAGGGTACCTGTCACACGAGCACGTGTCGTCTGCTGTAATAAGCAGCGTAAAGTCTTAATTACCTCGAAAACACGGAGTAAGAACTGCACATATCGCTTCCTTATTCCAAGAGACTTGCCCAGTGAGGCTAGGATGATGACCAAGAGCAGGACACTGACGACCGGAAAGAAAAACAGAGAGATCAATGTGATTAGTAGTTGTTCCTCCATCCTTCCATTTCTCAAAATGGTGACTGAAGGGCAAGGACATATCAAAGGTCATTTTGTGACCTTTTGCATTGTGTTTATTAATAACTGATTACTTTACTTATTTAGTATTACATTTAAGTTACGTTACAGTTATCTTTATTGGGCCCCCTTGATCGTTATCATCGAATTCAAATGTTGACAAGAAAAACAAAAGTGCAAGTTTACGCAACCGCTATACTAGACAGTGCCCAGTCAAAAGTACAAATTTAGGAATGGTGTATGAAATATGATTTACGTGTCAACATAAGAGTAGCATTTTCGCCCACACATAACTTATTGTGTGTTATTGTTATTGGACAACAATATTAGTTCGTATTTACTTTCTGCATATAAATAAAAACCTTTATTCTTTACTTTGTTGAGTGAGTTAGGGGATGGGCAGCATTTTGTCAGTGACAAATCGACGTGTTCATGTTAACGTTTCTTCGTGAACGCAGCTGAAACCATTTAAGCATGAAATTGATGAGTTGCTATGTTATTTTCTTTGAATATCGCTGAAGGCATGTCAGTATTTTCGCAATTAAGCCTTATTTCGGTATTCATTTCACTTTCAATATACTTACATATGTTGTCATATTCACAATTTTTGCCACTAAATTTGATTAATATGACGTGTCATCTATAGAGATTATGGGAACATACATTTTCTAGTATATCAAACTCGGCTGGTGAATGATAATGACAGTTGTTACGCCAAATTCATCATCCCCAAATATAACGGACGATGCACGCCATACTGAGCTTTTAACAACAGTCATTTCCCGAGTATCGCTGTTTCACCTCCTCAGTTTCCAAAGTTTCTACTCTCCCCTTCTATCATCTAGTTAGACAAACATCTAGTCTTCGAAATGAACTTATTTTTACAGAAAAACAGTTCATTATAAAAACCCAATAAAATATAATGAAAAGGAGCCCTGAGACTTTCTTCAACAGTCCTGAAGCTGTGGAAATCTAGACTTGCCATGTTTTCTAGACTTGCGTGGGCTTTCTTGGATATGTTTGCTTCAGGGTCTGTATGACAGACTATCATCTAGTCTAGGCTTTGGAATACATATGATCATGGTAAAGTATTAGTCTGTCATAGGGGGGCGGTGGGGTAGCCTAGTGGTTAAAGCGTCCGCTCGTCACGTCGGTTCGATTCCCCACATGGGCGTAATGTGTGAAGCCCATTTCTGGTGTCCCCCGCCGTGATATTGCTGCAATATTGCTAAAACTGGCGTAAAACCAAACTCACTCACTCACTCATAGGCCGCTTTGAACATTATTATCACGGTGTGCTATCTTTATGTCGGAGGAACGTCTGGGGTGAAGCAGATCCAAGACGTGTGCACTTTTGGTGAAATTTACAGCACAGACACGGATTTGCCAAACCAGGAACCACGACCCTTGGAAATCTAGGAGTCGAACCCTTCATTAATAGTTTCGCGAATGCCAAAGGGACAATAAGTCCACCAGTGTCATAAAAACACGCAGGAATTGATAAGTATTTCACGTAAGATGCATGTAGAATCAATAAATGACTTTTACATTTCATTTACATAGGAGTACAATTCTATATACACTCGTAGGATCGGTTACCGAAAATAACTGCAAGCAATAATATTTTTATGATCTATATTTGTTGTGATCTTTTACATTTATGCTGAATTAAAATAAAAAGAGATGGATGGCGAAGTGATAACGTTGTATACAAGGAGTCTACACGAGATTCCGCGGTGAGAGGTTGAGATTTTTAAAACTCTATTTAGTCATGAATACCATTACTAGGTTTAGGCAAGCAGCAAATGTTGCAAAAGTAAAACATAGATGATACGTCATGATGTATTCTGGTGAAGACTTACCAAACACCCGGTTGACTGTACAAAGTTAGATCTGGGCGTGATAATACACCAGCAGCCGTATCAAACACTGCATATACTCCATCCATTTCTGCTGCAATGATGTCGATCCGCTTTTCTGCTTCAGAATCCACGCGATTATTATACTCGTATGTATATCGTTCTGAATAAGACATATCATACATCACTGAGTCTGGTAAGCCTTATTAACAACACAAAACAAAACTCAGAAATAGTCAATAGGACGCACGGCTCGACACTACCGTGCGATATCACGTCGCATATGCAACTGATAGCAGTTTCCAGATCAATTGTCCGTGACAACTTTTCGTATCACCCGTCCTTGCTGCTCTCAACATGGCGACCTTAGGAGCTCCGAAAAGTATCTCCCCATTGATTCGAGTTAGTGTTGCTAGTGCATTTTACTTTGTCGTATTACATTATAAATAAGTTATTGAGAAGAAGAATGTCATTTTGACCTGTAGTATGTATTTTTTCAACTCGGTCGTGATAGCCTATGTGCAAATGATATGGCATAAGATACTTGCCCTCGGCTTCTGTGCATTGCCGGCAATATAAAAAGCACATTTACACCTAGAAGGTCCTCTTATAAGACCACTGCAGGACTTTACCTGTCGTGGATCATGAGGAAAATAAGAGTACACACTTTTTTACATTTTTCAAATATTAGTGAACTGTCATACCAAATGCTGTATGTCTTGCAGTATTCCAGAGTAGCCTTGAGTTGAGCATAAACCTGAAAAAATTATAAATTTCCCTTTGATATTTTCAGTTTGGCAGATATGCTGCACTGATAACAGGCGTCATATATGGCAGCTCAAGACTCAGTAAGTACTGACATTAGTGACAATTTAATTTGGTTTTGATTCATTATATCTCTCTGTGACCACAAAATGTCCCCTTACTATGTCAAACATGTCTTTCAGTGTCCTTTTTCCCTTTTTCAATTTCAGTGTTTTATAGAGTGTTTTTTCAGCTGATTAGACTACTGGATGCAGTTTCCCTCAAAATTTTACTATCACTATCAGTCATTACTACACCATGTGACATAGTAGGATTCAAATATTAGGAATATATAACTGTAAAATATTGGTTTCACCATGATAAGTAATAGCTTAGATAAAGAATCCAGTCTATAGTAATATATACCCATCTCTCACAGGCATCCTATTCAAAAAGGTATAAGTTCAGCTACATAGTTTAAAAGTTTAAAAGATGTTTCTAGATAAATCCAAGCCTAAGGTATCAAAAACTCATCTCTCGGACACACCAAGGTTATGTCTTCATAGTTTAAGAAATTGCCTTATCTATATTATGAAGTATACCTGTCATCACCTATACTAAAATACAATTAACATTAAGCTAACACTTCAGTTTGGGCTCATTACGATTTAGCCCTGTGCAAGTAGTGTCTATTGTAGTACCATAATCTTCAACAGTAAATGTGTCAACAAGATTAGTGCCAGTTCATTTAGGATTAGCAGGATTAAATACTCCCGTCTGTCTGGTCATTTCATTTATTGTAGGCACACCCCATTTTGTATCGTCAGTGAATCATAATCTTTTCATTGTTTCAATTTCAAATAAATAGTTTGAAAATGAAAATGTTAGGCAGTAGTTTAGACTCCCCAGCACAGGTTAGCTCTAACCCTCAGCTCAGATGGTTGCACTGACTCTCTGTGGCCACCCCAGCTGTGTGTAAGACATTGTAATTCTGTTCATGTAAATAAACTGTAATTAGCTTCTTGTGTATTTGGAACTATATAATCTACATAATCAGCATATTTTTGTTGCCTTGAAAGCAGACCAAGGGATTTGATTGGCTGTCATTTTCTGGTTTTCTTTCAGGAATTTGTGTGTATGCAAATTGATTGCTATGAGGCATTTGTGTAGCTGATGACAGCTAAGTTTGGCAATCTGTACATAAGGTACATATAGCAAAGACTGATAATTTGTGGTAAACATTAATGCAAAATGAACTTAACCTTATTTCAACTGGTTAAAATCTTGTATACATAGTGTAAATTTGAAGCAAGTGATAACACTTTGCTTATGAACTTATGCACTATGACAATCTAAATCGCACCCTGTAATGTGTCTTCGAGTCTAATGGTTAAAGTCAGTTATATGAATACTTGTTTCAAGTTCAAATCAGCTAACTGCCACAAAGATGTAATCCAGAATGTATTTTGCAAGTGAGTTTGTGTATAACTGTTGCATGTGTTATGCAGTGTACTTATCACTGTAAATTATATGACTGTTTGTATTGCATTCAGATTGTCTGATGTGGTGATCTAGTGTGTATATGAGCGTGTTTTGTGTTCAGATCGATTGACAGCCAAGGAGGTGGTGATCCAGGAACAGGAGGACAAGCTCAGGGTTATCCGGGAAGCCAAACTCAAGGAGGAGAAAATCCAGGCTGAGAAAGGTGAGTTCATGATGTATTAGTTCGCTCGTCACGCCAAATACCCGGGTTCGATTCCCCACATGGGCACATTGTGTGAAGCCCATTTCTGGTGACCCCTTTCGTGATATTGCTGGAATATTGCTAAAAGCGGTGTAAAACTCACTCACTCATGATGTATTATAACACTTAGGCAAAATCTTTCTTGTTTGAAAAATATTTTAGTTTTTGAAGCTTCTACAATCATACCTTGAATTTGATCATTGTGTTACAAGCCAATGCAGCAAGAAGTGTAAAACTTGTGTCTTTTCCTATATGTAGTTTAGGGTGTATGTATGGTATGTAAGTATCAGACATTGTGTCTTTGTGTATGTGATAGAAGCTGTTACTTATTCTGCTGCATCTATTGTTTCAGTGGAGATGGCCATGTTAGCCAAGGAGGCGGGAATAAAACAAAGCTAGTGACATTAGACCTGTTGGAAGTGTTAGATGTGTGAACTTAAAATGATTTCATTGTTTTTGAGGTATGAATGTATATAGGAACTGAGAATAAACATTCTGAAAGACGGTGTGTTTTTTATCCTTACAACTATTAACATAATTGCTCTAGATTCAAAAAGATAATGCACATGGCACTACATCTTATAGCAAGTGTTTTTGTTTCACATAGCAGGGCCAACCATTCACATTTGACCATTGAGAGTGATGAGGGAGTATGTTTTGTTTGAAAAAGTTAATTTGGCCACATCCTTTTCAGTGTAATAATTGAATCGGTATCAGACAATCCAGGGATTGACAATCCAAGCAATAATGTATGTCATTTACTGAAATACAATTACCCATGTGGTCAGGGTACAATGCCATGTAGTTGACCATCATGGTTTGGGGGACAATGAATGATATGTAATTGACCATGACATGGATGCAATGAAACACATGGCCATCACATCAGTATACATTGAGACATAATCACAAGCAGGTACATTGCTACCATCATGTCTGGTACTTTGACACCCATTTGACCTTGGAATTTGGCTACGATGACCCCTACTTGACCATGGCATTGGGCTACTATGACACCCATTTGACCATTTCATTAAAGGATAGCGACATACAGATTGATCATGAGGTTTGGGTAGAGTGAAGCCCAGTTTACCATGAGGTTTGGGTAGCGTGAAGCCCCGTTTACCATGAGGTTTGGGTACAGTGAAGCCCAGTTTACCATGAGGTTTCGGTAGAGTGAAGCCCAGTTTACCGTGAGGTTTGGGTACAGTGAAGCCCAGTTTACAATGAGGTTTGGGAAGTGTGAAGCCCAGTTTACAATGAGGTTTGGGTAGAGTGAAGCCCAGTTTACCATGAGGTTTGGGTACAGTGAAGCCCACTTTACCATGAGGTTTGGGTAGCGCGACGCCACGTTTACAATGAGGTTTCGCCAGAGTGAAGCCAAGTTTACCATGAGGTTTGGGTAGAGTGAAGCCACGTTTACCATGAGGTTTGGGTACAGTGAAGCCCAGTTTACCATGAAGTTTGGGCACAATGAAGCCCAGTTTACCATGAGGTTTGGGTAGAGTGAAGCCCAGTTTACCACGAGGATTGGGGACAGTGAAGGTAAGTTTACCATGAGGTTTGGGTAGAGTGAAGCCCAGTTTCCCATGAGGTTTGGGTAGAGTGAAGCCCAGTTTACCACGAGGTTTGGGTAGCGTGAAGCCCAGTTTACCATGAGGTTTGGGTTACGTGAAGCCAAGTTTACCGTGAGGTTTGGGTAGAGTGAAGCCCAGTTTACCATGAGGATTGGGGACAGTGAAGCCAAGTTTACCATGAGGTTTGGGTAGAGTAAACCCCAGTTTACCATGAGGTTTAGGTAGAGTGAAGCCCAGTTTACCATGAGGTTTGGGTAGAGTGAAGCCCACTTTACCATGAGGTTTGGGTAGAGTGAAGCCCCATTTACCCTGAGGTTTGGGTAGCATGAAGCCCAGTTTACAATGAGGTTTGGGGACAGTGAAGCCTAGTTTACCCTGAGGTTTGAGTAGAGTGAAGCCCAGTTTACCGTGAGGTTTGGGTAGAGTGAAGCCCAGTTTACCATGAGGTTTGGGGACAGTGAAGCCCCGTTTACCATGAGGTTTGGGTAGAGTGAAGCCAGGTTTACCGTGAGGTTTGGGGACAGTTAAGCCCCGTTTACCACGAGGTTTTGGTAGAGTGAAGCCCAATTTACGATGAGGTTTGGGTAGAGTGAAGCCCAGTTTACCATGAGGTTTGGGGACAGTGAAGCCCAGTTTACGATGAGGTTTGGGGACGGTGAAGCCCCGTTTACCACGAGGTTTGGGTAGAGTGAAGCCCACTTTACCATAAGGTTTGGGGACAGTGAAGCCCAGTTTACCGTGAGGTTTGGGTAGAGTGAAGCCCACTTTACCATGAGGTTTGGGTAGAGTGAAGCCCCATTTACCCTGAGGTTTGGGTAGCATGAAGCCCAGTTTACAATGAGGTTTGGGGACAGTGAAGCCTAGTTTACCAAGAGGTTTGAGTAGAGTGAAGCCCAGTTTACCATGAGGTTTGGGGACAGTGAAGCCTAGTTTACCAAGAGGTTTGGGTAGAGTGAAGCCCAGTTTACCATGAGGTTTGAGTAGAGTGAAGCCCAGTTTACCGTGAGGTTTGGGGACACTTAAGCCCCTTTTACCTGCAGGTTTGGGCAGAGTGAAGCCCAATTTGCCATGAGGTTTGGGTAGAGTGAAGCCCAGTTTACCACGAGGTTTGGGGACAGTGAAGCCCAGTTTACCATGAGGTTTGGGGACAGTGAAGCCCAGTTTACCATGAGGTTTGGGGAGAGTGAAGCCCAGTTTACCATGAGGTTTGGGTAGAGTGAAGCCCAGTTTGCCATGAGGTTTGGGTAGAGTGAAGCCCAGTTTACCATGAGGTTTGGGTAGAGTGAAGCCCAGTTTACCATGAGGTTTGGGTACAGTGAAGCCCAGTTTACCACGAGGTTTGGGGACAGTGAAGCCTAGTTTACCATGAGAGGTTTGGGGACAGTGAAGCCCAGTTTACCATGAGGTTTGGGGAGAGTGAAGCCCAGTTTACCCTGAGGTTTGGTAGTGTGAAGCCCAGTTTACCATGAGGATTGGGGACAGTGAAGCCAAGTTTACCATGAGGTTTGGGTAGAGAGTGACCCAGTTTACCATGAGGTTTAGGGTAGAGTGAAGCCCAGTTTACCGTGAGGTTTGGGTACAGTGAAGCCCAGTTTACGATGAGGTTTGAGTAGAGTGAAGCCCAGTTTACCATGAGGGTTTGGGTAGAGTGAAGCCCAGTTTACCATGAGGTTTGGGTACAGTGAAGCCCACTTTACCGTGAGGTTTGGGTACAGTGAAGCCCAGTTTACGATGAGGTTTGGGTAGAGTGAAGCCCAGTTTACCACGAGGTTTGGTGACAGTGAAGCCCAGTTTACCATGAGGTTTGGGTAGAGTGAAGCCCAGTTTACCGTGAGGTTTGGGTAGATTGAAGCCCAGTTTACCATGAGGTTTTGGGTAGAGTGAAGCCCAGTTTACCATGAGGTTTGGCACAGTGAAGCCCACTTTACCGTGAGGTTTGGGTACAGTGAAGCCCAGTTTACGATGAGGTTTGGGTAGAGTGAAGCCCAGTTTACCACGAGGTTTGGGGACAGTGAAGCCCAGTTTACCATGAGGTTTGGGTAGAGTGAAGCCCAGTTTACCGTGAGGTTTGGGTAGATTGTAGCCCAGTTTACCATGAGGTTTGGGTAGAGTGAAGCCCAGTTTACCATGAGGTTTGGGTAGAGTGAAGCCCAGTTTACCATGAGGTTTGGGTAGAGTGAAGCCCAGTTTACCATGAGGTTTGGGTAGAGTGAAGCCCAGTTTACCATGAGGTTTGGGTACAGTGAAGCCCAGTTTACCGTGAGGTTTGGGTACAGTGAAGCCCAGTTTACCATGAGGTTTGGGTAGTGTGAAGCCCAGTTTACCATGAGGTTTGGGTAGAGTCGACCCAGTTCACCCTGAGGTTTGGGTAGCGTGAAGCCCAGTTTACCATGAGGTTTGGGGACAGTGAAGCCCAGTTTACCCTGAGGTTTGGGTAGAGTGAAGCCCAGTTTACCATGAGGTTTGGGTAGAGTGAAGCCCAGTTTACCCTGAGGTTTGGGTAGTGTGAAGCCCAGTTTACCATGAGGATTGGGGACAGTGAAGCCAAGTTTACCATGAGGTTTGGGTAGAGGAAATCCCAGTTTACCATGAGGTTTAGGTAGAGTGAAGCCCAGTTTACCGTGAGGTTTGGGTACAGTGAAGCCCAGTTTACGATGAGGTTTGAGTAGAGTGAAGCCCAGTTTACCATGAGGTTTGGGTAGAGTGAAGCCCAGTTTACCATGAGGTTTGGGTACAGTGAAGCCCACTTTACCGTGAGGTTTGGGTACAGTGAAGCCCAGTTTACGATGAGGTTTGGGTAGAGTGAAGCCCAGTTTACCACGAGGTTTGGTGACAGTGAAGCCCAGTTTACCATGAGGTTTGGGTAGAGTGAAGCCCAGTTTACCGTGAGGTTTGGGTAGATTGTAGCCCAGTTTACCACGAGGTTTGGGTAGAGTGAAGCCCAGTTTACCATGAGGTTTGGGTAGAGTGAAGCCCAGTTTACCATGAGGTTTGGGTAGAGTGAAGCCCAGTTTACCATGAGGTTTGGGTAGAGTGAAGCCCAGTTTACCATGAGGTTTGGGTACAGTGAAGCCCAGTTTACCATGAGGTTTGGGTAGTGTGAAGCCCAGCTTTACTCATGAGGTTTGGGTAGTGTGAAGCCCAGTTTACCATGAGGTTTGGGTAGAGTCGACCCAGTTCACCCCTGAGGTTTGGGTAGCGTGAAGCCCAGCTTACCCTGAGGTTTGGGTAGAGTGAAGCCCAGTTTACCATGAGGTTTGGGTAGAGTGAAGCCCAGTTTACCCTGAGGTTTGGGTAGTGTGTGAGCCCAGTTTACCATGAGGATTGGGGACAGTGAAGCCAAGTTTACCATGAGGTTTGGGTAGAGGAAATCCCAGTTTACCATGAGGTTTAGGTAGAGTGAAGCCCAGTTTACCGTGAGGTTTGGGTACAGTGAAGCCCAGTTTACAGATGAGGTTTGAGTAGAGTGAAGCCCAGTTTACCATGAGGTTTGGGTAGAGTGAAGCCCAGTTTACCATGAGGTTTGGGTACAGTGAAGCCCACTTTACCGTGAGGTTTGGGTACAGTGAAGCCCAGTTTACACGATGAGGTTTGGGTAGAGTGGAAGCCCAGTTTACCACGAGGTTTGGTGACAGTGAAGCCCAGCTTACTCATGAGGTTTGGGTAGAGTGAAGCCCAGCTTACCGTGAGGTTTGGGTAGCCCAGCTTTACCATGAGGTTTGGGTAGAGTGAAGCCCAGTTTACCATGAGGTTTGGGTAGAGTGAAGCCCAGTTTACCATGAGGTTTGGGTAGAGTGAAGCCCAGTTTACCATGAGGTTTGGGTAGAGTGAAGCCCAGTTTACCATGAGGTTTGGGTACAGTGAAGCCCAGTTTACCATGAGGTTTGGGTAGTGTGAAGCCCAGTTTACCATGAGGTTTGGGTAGAGTCGACCCAGTTCACCCTGAGGTTTGGGTAGCGTGAAGCCCAGTTTACCATGAGGTTTGGGGACAGTGAAGCCCAGTTTACCCTGAGGTTTGGGTAGAGTGAAGCCCAGCTTACCATGAGGTTTGGGTAGAGTGAAGCCCAGTTTACCCCTGAGGTTTGGGTAGTGTGAAGCCCAGCTTACCATGAGGGATTGGGGACAGTGAAGCCAAGCTTACCATGAGGTTTGGGTAGAGGAAACCCAGTTTACCATGAGGTTTAGGTAGAGTGAAGCCCAGTTTACCATGAGGTTTGGGTAGAGTGAAGCCCACTTTACCATGAGGTTTGGGTAGAGTGAAGCCCCATTTTACCCTTGAGGTTTGAGTAGAGTGAAGCCCAGTTTACCGTGAGGTTTGGGGACAGTTAAGCCCAGTTTACCGCATGAGGTTTTGGTAGAGTGAAGCCCAGTTTACCATGAGGTTTTGAGTGGCCCAGCGACGCCCGTGTTTACAATGAGGGTTTCTGCCAGAGTGAAGCCAAGTTTACCATGAGGTTTGGGTAGAGTGAAGCCACGTTTACCATGAGGTTTGGGTACAGTGAAGTCCAGTTTACCATGAAGTTTGGGCACAATGAAGCCCAGTTTACCATGAGGTTTTGGTAGAGTGAAGCCCAGTTTACCCTGAGGTTTGGGTAGAGTGAAGCCCAGTTTACCATGAGGTTTGGGTAGAGTGAAGCCCAGTTTACCATGAGGTTTGGGTAGTGTGAAGCCCAGTTTACCATGAGGATTGGGGACAGTGAAGCCCAGTTTACCCTGAGGTTTGGGTAGTGTGAAGCCCAGTTTACCATGAGGATTGGGGACAGTGAAGCCAAGTTTACCATGAGGTTTGGGTAGAGGAAATCCCAGTTTACCATGAGGTTTAGGTAGAGTGAAGCCCAGTTTACCATGAGGTTTGGGTAGAGTGAAGCCCACTTTACCATGAGGTTTGGGTAGAGTGAAGCCCCATTTACCCTGAGGTTTGAGTAGAGTGAAGCCCAGTTTACCGTGAGGTTTGGGGACAGTTAAGCCCAGTTTACCGCGAGGTTTTGGTAGAGTGAAGCCCAGTTTACCATGAGGTTTGGGTAGCGCGACGCCCCGTTTACAATGAGGTTTCGCCAGAGTGAAGCCAAGTTTACCATGAGGTTTGGGTAGAGTGAAGCCACGTTTACCATGAGGTTTGGGTACAGTGAAGTCCAGTTTACCATGAAGTTTGGGCACAATGAAGCCCAGTTTACCATGAGGTTTTGGTAGAGTGAAGCCCAGTTTACCCTGAGGTTTGGGTAGAGTGAAGCCCAGTTTACCATGAGGTTTGGGTAGAGTGAAGCCCAGTTTACCATGAGGTTTGGGTAGTGTGAAGCCCAGTTTACCATGAGGATTGGGGACAGTGAAGCCCAGTTTACCATGAGGTTTGGGTAGAGTAAAGCCCAGTTTACCATGAGGTTTAGGTAGAGTGAAGCCCAGTTTACCATGAGGTTTGGGTAGAGTGAAGCCCACTTTACCATGAGGTTTGGGTAGAGTGAAGCCCCATTTACCCTGAGGTTTGGGTAGCATGAAGCCCAGTTTACAATGAGGTTTGGGGACAGTGAAGCCTAGTTTACCAAGAGGTTTGAGTAGAGTGAAGCCCAGTTTACCGTGAGGTTTGGGGACAGTTAAGCCCAGTTTACCACGAGGTTTTGGTAGAGTGAAGCCCAGTTTACCATGAGGTTTGGGTAGCGCGACGCCCCGTTTACAATGAGGTTTCGCCAGAGTGAAGCCAAGTTTACCATGAGGTTTGGGTAGCGTGAAGCCCAGCTTACCATGAGGTTTGGGTTACGTGAAGCCAAGTTTACCACGAGGTTTGGGTAGAATGAAGCCCAGTTTACCATGAGGATTGGGGACAGTGAAGCCAAGTTTACGATGAGGTTTGGGTAGAGTGAATCCCAGTTTACCATGAGGTTTAGGTAGAGTGAAGCCCAGTTTACCATGAGGTTTGGGTAGAGTGAAGCCCACTTTACCATGAGGTTTGGGTAGAGTGAAGCCCCATTTACCCTGAGGTTTGGGTAGCATGAAGCCCAGTTTACAATGAGGTTTGGGGACAGTGAAGCCTAGTTTACCCTGAGGTTTGAGTAGAGTGAAGCCCAGTTTACCGTGAGGTTTGGGGACAGTTAAGCCCCGTTTACCACGAGGTTTTGGTAGAGTGAAGCCCAGTTTACCATGAGGTTTGGGTAGAGTGAAGCCCAGTTTACCACGAGGTTTGGGGACAGTGAAGCCCAGTTTACCATGAGGTTTGGGGAAAGTGAAGCCCCGTTTACCATGAGGTTTGGGTAGAGTGAAGCCAGGTTTACCATGAGGTTTGGGGACAGTTAAGCCCCGTTTACCACGAGGTTTTGGTAGAGTGAAGCCCAATTTACGATGAGGTTTGGGTAGAGTGAAGCCCAGTTTACCATGAGGTTTGGGTACAGTGAAGTCCAGTTTACCATGAGGTTTGGGTAGTGTGAAGCCCAGTTTACCCTGAGGTTTGGGTAGAGTGGAGCCCAGTTTACCATGAGGTTTGGGTAGCGTGAAGCCCAGTTTACCATGAGGTTTGGGGACAGTGAAGCCCAGTTTACCCTGAGGTTTGGGTAGAGTGAAGCCCACTTTACCATGAGGTTTGGGTAGCGTGAAGCCCAGTTTACCCTGAGGTTTGGGTAGTGTGAAGCCCAGTTTACCATGAGGTTTGGGTACAGTGAAGCCCAGTTTACCGTGAGGTTTGGGTACAGTAAAGCCCAGTTTACCGTGAGGTTTGGGTACAGTGAAGCCCACTTTACCATGAGGTTTGGGTAATGTGAAGCCCAGTTTACCATGAGGTTTGGGTAGAGTGAAGCCCAGTTTACCATGAGGTTTGGGTAGATTGTAGCCCATTTTACCATGAGGTTTGGGTACAGTGAATCCCAGTTTACCGTGAGGTTTGGGGAGAGTGAAGCCCAGTTTACCATGAGGTTTGGGTACAGTCTGAACGCCCATCCACTTGGTTGCCACTAGACAAGCATTAGCTGCTGGGGACTGCCCCATGCCAGAAGTCTCAGGTGATTAGCTGAGATGTAATGGAGTTGTTGTTTTATAATTCATTCTGCTAAATGTCTTGACGCCATTGCCAAAAACCTGAAATCAGTTTTGGCTTATGATAGGCAGGCAAGTTCACGACAGAAAACCTGTTTTCTCAAGTGTGCATGTGTGAACAAAAGTGGAGATGGACCCCTACGGCATTGGAAATGTTAACAAAACTTGAATTAAATTTCAAACATTGAATACCAAATTCTGCTACTTACAAATATTTGTCTCTTCAGGATGAATGTTTGTTTACCTTCATTCCTCATAAGTTATGTGCCTGTCAGATTAAGAGAGTCAGACATTATTACAATCACTATATACTATGGTATTTATATACTATGTATCAAAATGTACTCTTGTCAGTATTGAATATTGATCGACCTGTAAATACATGTAGGCAATATACTAATCATGCTTAACTGGCTCAACAGGTGTAAATAATCAGTTTATCTTGTTTTTGAGGATATGTTTTGCTGAGTATCATATCCATTTTTCGATTTTGAATGGAACTGAATATCAGTTGATGCATTGTCCTTCGGTACTGAGGGCTTCTGCTCACTGCAGTAGCTCCCGTGTTTTAATCTATAGGTGGGCGGTGGTTAAAGCGTTCGCTCGTCACATCGAAACCCCAGGTCGATTCCCCACATGGATACAATGTTTGAAGCCCATTTCTGGTGTCCCCCGCCGTGATATCCCTGGAATATTGCTTAAAGCGGCGTAAAAGTAAATTCATTTATCTATAGATCTGTTGTCTCTGTATGATAAGGTACTCCAGGGAAGCAGTATGGCCCTGTTCAGTGTCTTGGCTCTTTACGTCCTTGTGTTTAATACCATGGTTTGTTCGTGCTGGTCCTCACTCACTCATTCACTCAGCCTAGTGGTTAAAGCGTTCGCTCGTCACGCCGAAGACCTGGGTTCTATTCCCCATATGGGTACAATGTGTGAAGCCCATTTCTGGTGTCCCCCGCCGTGATGTTGCTGGAATATTACTAAAAGCGGCGTAAAACCCAACTCACTCACAATTCTATAACGAAGGAAATCGTTATGATGGACGGCCCCAATGCAGGTGTGCCTTGTTCAGTGTGTGATACAAACTACACTCTGATATGCTAATTCCTTGACCTGCTCTCTTCAATATTCGTGTATTTTTTGAAGCGATGACATTTGGAAATGTCAGGTTCCCAAGTGACCGGTAATCTACACGGTAAGTGACGCCCGGTGTTGTCAACCCTCGCCGGAAACCAGGATCACCTAGCTATAAGTGACCGTGTCGCTCTCCAGTGCTTGTGGAGGACGGTCCGGTAAAGCATGGCGACTCTCCTGTGTGTGGTTCTGGTCTTGGCCATGATGAACTTTGGATATGGTACGTATTGCGTGTTGTTTAAACAGACTATTTCACGGTTAAGCAAGATAGCGCAGACAGAATTCGTGCATGCTGCCATTACCGGATAGCTCTCCTTTCTGTTGTCTGACAGAAAATAGATACCCCATGTCTGTCGTTGAAGGCTGTTCTGGGGCAAGTAAACTGAAACAAAACTGATATTTCTTGGCGAATATAAATTTACCTGGATCTATTTATTTTCCGAGAGAGAAAAATATACAATGTTAATAGAAAGCGTGAGAAATGTTTTCACTGGCTATTATTTCTGTTAATCATAAAAAATAACATTGCATTTGCTGTTGAATGTGTGTAATGAAGTAGTAAGGCTGTTTTGGAATGTGTGAGTTCCGATCAGTTTAGAACAATGAAGTAATAAGGTTGTTTTGGAATATGTGAGTTCCGATCAGTTTAGAACAATGAAGTAATAAGGTTGTTTTGGAATATGTGAGTTCCGATCAGTTTAGAACAATGAAGTAATAAGGTTGTTTTGAAATATGTGAGTTCCGATCAGTTCAGAACAATGAAGTAATAAGGTTGTTTTGGAATATGTGAGTTCCGATCAGTTCAGAACAATGAAGTAATAAGGTTGTTTTGGAATGTGTTAGTTCCTATCAGTTTAGAACAATGAAGTAGTAAGGTTGTTTTGGAATATGTGAGTTCCTATCAGTTTAGAACAATGAAGTAATAAGGTTGTTTTGGAATATGTGAGTTCCTATCAGTTTAGAACAATGAAGTAATAAGGTTGTTTTGGAATATGTGAGTTCCGATCAGTTTAGAACAATGAAGTAATAAGGTTGTTTGGAATATGTGAGTTCCTATCAGTTCAGAACAATGAAGTAATAAGGTTGTTTTGGAATGTGTGAGTTCCGATCAGTTTACAGCAATGAAGTAATAAGGTTGTTTTGGAATATGTGAGTTCCGATCAGTTTAGAACAATGAAGTAATAAGGTTGTTTTGGAATATGTGAGTTCCTATCAGTTTAGAACAATGAAGTAGTAAGGCTGTTTTGGAATGTGTGAGTTCCTATCAGTTCAGAACAATGAAGTATTAAGGCTGTTTTGGAATATGTGAGTTCCTATCAGTTTAGAACAATGAAGTAATAAGGTTGTTTTGGAATGTGTGAGTTCCTATCAGTTTAGAACAATGAAGAAATAAGGTTGTTTTGGAATATGTGAGTTCCTATCAGTTCAGAACAATGAAGTAGTAAGGTTGTGTTCCGATCAGTTCAGAACAATGAAGTAGTAAGGCTGTTTTGGAATGTGTGAGTTCCTATCAGTTCAGAACAATGAAGTAGTAAGATTGTTTTGGAATATGTGAGTTCCGATCACTTTAGAACAATGAAGTAATAAGGCTGTTTTGGAATATGTGAGTTCCGATCAGTTTAGAACAATGAAGTAATAAGGCTGTTTTGGAATATGTGAGTTCCGATCAGTTTAGAACAATGAAGTAATAAGACGATTTGTTATGTACTTCTTACAGTATGGTTGTTGCTGCACACCAGTGCACCTTAACTGAATATGTCAAGTGTATATTGATTTTTGGGCGTGCTGTAAGTTGACGTCATGAAGAAGTTCTATCTATATGTTTTACCTGGCTTCACGAACAGGTTCTATATATCTCTATGCCATCTAAAGAAACATCGTTTGCACTTAGATTCCCTAGCCAAATGAAGGTTAGCCAGAGTGCGATCGATAATGTTCTGTTTACGAACCAACAACTGAAAGTTATATGGAAACATCCAATAGTTGTTACAGCTCTGAAACTTGACTGATTTACTGCATTAACGTCGTTCCAAATTTCCGCCCTCATATTTGCAATCCTCGGTATACTTTATCCTGTAGGTCTGATGGGTACTGAACTATTATGTCAAGACGTATTGGGTGATGAAAACGTGTTTAATATTTGCATGATCAGGTCGTAACATTTTCCACAAAGTTAAGGTGACGTAACTCACACATTTTCAGGAATCAAACTGTATGTCAAGCACTCCAGTTAGAATATACAAATCAAATACTAGTACATGCGTATGCCAGACGTAACATTGCCAGCTGCAGTAAAACTTTACACAATACACACTCGTTGCCAAAGAGATAGTCACACATATAATTATCTCAAACCGACAACCCAAGCATATCTTTAACATAAAACCACCTGTGAAGATCCGGGTTAGAACTGGACTCCGGCAACCGATTGTTGTCGTAAGAGGTGACTAACGGCATCAGATGGTCAGGCTTGCAGTGTTGGTTGATGCATGTCATCATGATGCGTATCATAATTGCACAGGTCGATACTCATGATGTCATACACATGTTTATCTGGCCCTCTAATGGAATATACCGGAATATACCAGAACATACCAGAATATACCAGAAGTATTCCTGAGTGTGGCGGTAAACAACAAACAAAGAGACATTTCTTTGATTGGCATTCTAGAAGTTGGGTAGATGGAGGATGAGGACAATTTTTATGGATATACAACTTCTTTATTCTGTATAGGCGACGTTTCGACATAGATTATAATGTCGTTGTCAAGCAAGTGATTAGAATCTATGTCGAAATGTCGCCTATACAGAATAAAAAAGTTGTATATCCATAAAAATAGTCCTCATCAAACAAAGAGACAAACATAAAACAACACATAGCTTTAATATTCGGTAAATCATATCCCTATATTATAACCTTTAAAGATGACACTATGTCAGCTGTACATTATCCGATTGTCTCATAATAATAAGAGGAAACTTAACTTCATCACCGGAAGTAATGCATCTCCAAACGGATGGACAGCTAACGTCAGCACTTATTCCCACGCTGTTGGCGAGCAGAGTTGACTTAATTTTCTAAAGGCCACACAGAGTATCATCGCAGCGGAGTCCGTCAGTGTCTTTTTCATCACACAGCGATGCATTGCAAAATAGCTGCTGTCTAGAAAATCAGAACTGGCGGTAAAACAATCTACCTGATGTTTAGATCGTATGTTTCATGAATGTTATTTGTATAGCAGAGACAGTGAAAACTGTGTCACGCATTACAGAAATTACTACAACTATCCTGTACTAGGTATCTCTGTTTCAAAAGACGAATGAAGATGAATGAATGAAGACCAGGGGACTATCATATTTTCTTGTGGTCGTAGAGCCGTGGAAAATGCATTTTGCTTTTTGGTGGAGAAGATACAACAGAAAAAATCTCATGAGCCAAAACGTTAAGATAGTTCTCTTTTATAACGTCTTTTAAAACAAACCAGACAAATAACATATAGCATTATCCTTACAGAGCGTTTTATGTTATTGCAGTCATTGCAAGAATCGTTCCTTGATGTATTGCTATGGTTATCATGTTGCGATTAGGAGACTGTTTCAGGCAGCTCTAAGTTTAAAATGGTCACACAAACTATCATTCGCACCTTCAAACTGTTGACTGATGGCCTCCCAAACCCTGTGTCCCGGTCTTTATCATTACAGTGAGGTGAATCAATAATGTGTAGGCAGGGATGATTCTTGACCTCTAATATCTAACTTCACCCTTCAGTGCCTCACCTCGGAATCCCCCATCATCTAACTTCACCCTTCAGTGCCTCACCCCGGAATCCCCCATCATCAAACTTCACTCTTCAGTGCCTCACCCCGGAATCCCCCATCATCTAACTTCACCCTTCAGTGCCTCACCCCGGAATCCCCCATCATCTAACTTCACTCTTCAGTGCCTCACCCCTCGGAATCCCCATCATCAAACTTCACCCTTCAGTGCCTCACCTCGGAATCCCCCATCATCAAACTTCACTCTTCAGTGCCTCACCCCGGAATCCCCCATCATCAAACTTCACTCTTCAGTGCCTCACCTCGGAATCCCCCATCATCTAACTTCACCCTTCAGTGCCTCACCTCAGGAATCCCCATCATCAAAACTTCACCCTTTCAGTGCCTCACCTCCGGAATCCCCCATCATCAAACTTCACCCTTCAGTGCCTCACCTCGGAATCCCCCATCATCTAACTTCACCCTTCAGTGCCTCACCTCACCCCATCATCTATCCCCTTCATCATCTAATCTTCACATCTAACTTCACCCTTCAGTGCCTCACCTCGGAATCCCCATCATCTAACTTCACCCTTCAGTGCCTCACCTCGGAATCCCCCATCATCTAACATCTCACCACCCCTTCAGTGCCTCACCCCAGGAATCCCCCATCATCTAACTTCACCCTTCAGTGCCTCACCTCCCCATCGGAATCCCCCATCATCTAACTTCACCCTTTCAGTGCCTCACCCTGAATCCCCCATCATCTAACTTCACCCTTCAGTGCCTCACCCTGAATCCCCATCATCTAACTTCACCCTTCAGTGCCTCACCCCGGAATCCCCCATCATCTAACTTCACCCTTCAGTGCCTCACCTCGGAATCCCCCATCATCTAACTTCACCCTTCAGTGCCTCACCTCGGAATCCCCCATCATCTAACTTCACCCTTCAGTGCCTCACCCTCGGAATCCCCATCATCTAACTTCACTCTTCAGGTGCCTCACCCCGGAATCCCACCCTATCATCTAACTTCACCCTTCAGTGCCTCACCCCGAATCCCCATCATCTAACTTCACCCTTCAGTGCCTCACCTCGGAATCCCCCATCATCTAACTTCACCCTTCAGTGCCTCACCTCGAATCCCCATCATCTAACTTCACTCTTCAGTGCCTCACCCCTGAATCCCCATCATCTAACTTCACCTTTCAGTGCCTCACCCCGGAATCCCCCATCATCTAACTTCACCCTTCAGTGCCTCACCCCCCCATCATCCAAACCCATCATCTAACTTCACCCTTCAGTGCCTCACCCCCTGAATCCCCATCATCTAACTTCACTCTTTTCAGTGCCTCACCCCGGAATGCCCCATCATCTAACTTCACCCTTCAGTGCCTCACCCCCGGAATCCCCATCATCTAATCTTCACCCTTCAGTGCCTCACCTCGGAATCCCCCATCATCTAACTTCACCCTTCAGTGCCTCACCCCGGAATCCCCCATCATCTAACTTCACCCTTCAGTGCCTCACCCCGGAATCCCCCATCATCTAACTTCACCCTTCAGTGCCTCACCCCGGAATCCCCCATCATCTAACTTCACCCTTCAGTGCCTCACCCCGGAATCCCCCATCATCTAACTTCACCCTTCAGTGCCTCACCCCTGAATCCCCATCATCTAACTTCACCCTTCAGTGCCTCACCCCTGGAATCCCCCATCATCTAACTTCACCCCTTCAGTGCCTCACCCACCTCGAATCCCCATCATCTAACTTCACCCTTCAGTGCCTCACCCCGGAATCCCCCATCATCTAACTTCACCCTTCAGTGCCTCACCCAGGAATCCCCCATCATCTAACTTCACCCTTCAGTGCCTCACCCCGGAATCCCCCATCATCTAACTTCACCCTTCAGTGCCTCACCCCGGAATCCCCCATCACCAGATAAAAGCATTGAAAGCAAGATTTGTCCAAACTACGGTTCTTCTTGAAAAGTGACGTCACTTTTAGGGCAGCAAGTTTGAAAACTCACTTTTAGAGCTAATCGCATTGCAGTGTTTCGGCTTCAAAGTCGCTCTAATTGTTTTGTAGGATCCTCTGATTCCTAGATGTTGGAGTCTGCTCCTGAATTTTATCAGGTGGTAGATGTCAATAATCGACCTGCTTCACCAAGCGTTTTGCAGTCTACGGAAACCAGCACTCCATAATGCACTGTTATAAGACGCCTTAAACCCCTCACTACTTAGAGCATAGAACAGCATACTGAACACTTTGCTCGGCACGTTAGAGTCGACGAGGGAGGGAAATTTAACGTCTGTAACATATTTTAATTTTTAACACAGGTAGGATGAAGAAATAAAATACAAATGCCTACTTATGTCTAGTCTCATTCATGAAAAATGGACTAATACCTTTCAGCATCTGCTGAGCCTGTGCTTGACGATACACCCGTGACTGTGACGGCCGAAGCGGGGACGGTAGCCACATTGCCCTGCCCCCTGACGTCCAAGGGAAGCTACCGGGTAAATTATGCATGCAACAGTGGATTGGGAGGTTTTAAGTGAATGTATGTAATCACGTGAAAAATAGGTAACTTAATGGACAACATCGTGTCCGTGATAGTTTCTATGGGCGTGTATCATGTATGTATTAATGTGGAACAACAAAGAAGTGTACATATCCTGAATAAAAGCAGAAACTACATCTCCAAAATCAAAAGCAAATACCGAAGTCCGTTGTCAGTCTCCCTTAAGTCAGATCGTTGTGCTCGTTTCCAAATAACAATGATAACAATGAGGACCTGCACTCACGGATCACGTCAGACCGACCTTTCTTCCGACCAGTCAGAGTGAGTGAGAGAGTTAAGTTTTACGCCACATTCAGCGTATGGCGGCGGTCTGTAAATAATCGAGTCTGGACCAGACAATCCAGTGATCAACATCATGAGCATCGATGTACGCAACTGGGATACGATGACATGTGTCAATCAAGTCAACGGGCCTGACCACCCAATCCCGTTAGTCGTCTCTTACGACAAGCATGGGTTACTGAAGATCAGTTCTAACCCGGATCTTCACGGGTGTCCGACCAATCAGAACGTCGCTTAACAGGCCAGGAAACTGGCAGTCATACTGTGGTTTAAGTTATACAACTTCGAACAGGTTAAAACGGGGTACTCAGGAAGACAGTTACCGGCTGAACGACGACTCCATCAAACTCATCGTCTACCTTTGACTTCAGGGGGATACACAGTCTGTCTCACAGTCCCTGAACCACATTATTTCCCCTACTGCCAAGCCCTCTCTGCAGTGCTAAAGCCCTAAATAAAGCGAGGCTAGATTTGCTCAGTCTCAGGGTCTGTTAACATCTGCAAGAAAACTAACTCACTTTAGGGTGTCGGGTTACAAAGTAAACATATCTAACTACCATGGCTGGCCAGACCAACATCCTCACCAGTGGTCTGGAATCTTGCTTTACACTTCCATCTGTCAACTCTTAATTAACAAGCACATTGGGTGACCTGAAGATATAGTGGAGACCTTGTGTACAGTTTCTGGTCTTGAAGAGACAAATCAAGCAAAATCTCGGGGAAAGGCTCCTCTTGAAGTTGAATGTTATGTTGTAAAAAGTATTGTTTCATTGCCTGAAATAGCAGCCCAATTGTTAATGTGAATTGTAGTAATTAAAACAAGGATGATTTTTTTATTCCTGGTATAGAATTATGGTGTGAAACTGTTGTGTTTTGAGTATCTCACTTTATCTAATTGCTCAACAGTAAAACTCAGTGTCAACATATGACAGGGACCTATTTGTGCACAGGTTCAATCTGTTCGATTTAATCAAGGCATTACTATCGCACCTTTGTTCATATGCTAGGATTTGTTTCAGAAACAGAACTTCACAAAACAAATGAAGCAACAGTAACTGTTGTCTCCTAACTCGTAGCACTCATGAAGAGTGAGTGAGTTTGGTTTTACACGCATTCAGCAATATTCCATGTATGGCGGCGGTCTGTAAATAATCGAGTCTGGATCAGACAATTCAGTGATCAACAGCATGAGCATCAATCTACGCAATTGGGATATGATGACATGTGTCAACCAAGTCAGCGAGTCTGACCATCCGACACCGTTAGTCGCCTACTCATGAAGAACCAAATTGAAATGGCACAGCATCTCGGAATTAAATCTGTTTACCTTAGTGATGTGATTGAGGCATGCAAGGTGAAATCTAGGGAGGATCATCTAGTATGTAGAAATGTCCAGAACATCTTCAAGCATAAGACAGACGCTGGTCTTTACACTTCCATTGAACAGTTTGTTTCAAAAAAGGGGTTTATCTATATCCTCTTCGCATATTATACAAATGGAAACTTTTGAATTTTGAGATAAGTTCGAATTCATAGATCTTGCACCTTGGTCATCTAGTCTCCAAGTGACATTGTGGGCTGCAAGTTTCCAAACTGTAAAATGTTAGGCAGTAGGGGGGCTTGACTGGCCCACATGAGGTGATGACAGCATTGAGATGGACAGGGCTTAACACGAGGGCCAATAAATATGCCTTTCACTTGTAGCGTTACCTGATGGTTGTATGATGTGACTTCTAATTGGTAATGACCCCAGCACGTGTAGTCCCAATGCAGATGTTCTTAGTCTCTGAATCTCTGGTCTCCCTGGGGCTCCTTTTCAATTTAAATGGGCTTGTTTGTTGCTATCAACATTCTATATATTCAGAGACTAAGCATTAGTCTTGGGGATACACATCTCAACCGATGAGGCTTTGGATAGAGGGATGTGGAATCTCGGCCATCGAGCAGACAATCAAGTGCTCTTTTTTGTTTCGTTAACAAATTTTGAATTCAGAAAATATTATTCAAAATACTTTTGAAAGCTTATTCTTGAATGAAAGTGGACAGTGGCAGATAGCTGGGGAAAGCATCTCAGTCACTGGTTTGTCTGGTCTAGACGGGTATTTACAGCTGTGACACAGGGACACAGATCGCAGTACCAAACAGGCGTGCATTCCCTTCACTTATACAGACACATTGACTAAACAGCCTGTTCATGTAATACACATGTTCCACGCTTCAGGTTGTGTGGAGGGACCCGTCATCTACCTGCTTGACTAAATAATCTGTTCATGTAATATACATGTTCCACGCTTCAGGTTGTGTGGAGGGACCCGTCATCTACCTGCTTGACTAAACAATCTGTTCATGTAATACACATGTTCCACGCTTTAGGTTGTGTGGAGGGACCCGTCATCTACCTGCTTGACTAAATAATCTGTTCATGTAATACACATGTTCCACGCTTTAGGTTGTGTGGAGGGACCCGTCATCTACCTGCTTGACTAAACAACCTGTTCATGTAATACACATGTTTCACGCTTTAGGTTGTGTGGAGGGACCCGTCATCTACCTGCTTGACTAAACAATCTGTTCATGTAATACACATGTTCCACGCTTTAGGTTGTGTGGAGGGACCCGTCATCTACCTGCTTGACTAAATAATCTGTTCATGTAATACACATGTTCCACGCTTCAGGTTATGTGGAGGGACCCGTCATCTACCTGCTTGACTAAACAATCTGTTCATGTAATACACATGTTCCACGCTTCAGGTTGTGTGGAGGGACCCGTCATCTACCTGCTTGACTAAACAATCTGTTCATGTAATACACATGTTCCACGCTTTAGGTTGTGTGGAGGGACCCGTCATCTACCTGCTTGACTAAACAATCTGTTCATGTAATACACATGTTCCACGCTTTAGGTTGTGTGGAGGGACCCGTCATCTACCTGCTTGACTAAATAATCTGTTCATGTAATACACATGTTCCACGCTTCAGGTTGTGTGGAGGGACCCGTCATCTACCTGCTTGACTAAACAATCTGTTCATGTAATACACATGTTCCACGCTTTAGGTTGTGTGGAGGGACCCGTCATCTACCTGCTTGACTAAACAACCTGTTCATGTAATACACATGTTTCACGCTTCAGGTTGTGTGGAGGGACCCGTCATCTACCTGCTTGACTAAACAATCTGTTCATGTAATACACATGTTCCACGCTTCAGGTTGTGTGGAGGGACCCGTCATCTACCTGCTTGACTAAACAATCTGTTCATGTAATACACATGTTCCACGCTTCAGGTTGTGTGGAGGGACCCGTCATCTACCTGCTTGACTAAACAATCTGTTCATGTAATACACATGTTTCACGCTTCAGGTTGTGTGGAGGGACCCGTCATCTACCTGCTTGACTAAACAATCTGTTCATGTAATACACATGTTCCACGCTTTAGGTTGTGTGGAGGGACCCGTCATCTACCTGCTTGACTAAACAATCTGTTCATGTAATACACATGTTCCACGCTTCAGGTTGTGTGGAGGGACCCGTCATCTACCTGCTTGACTAAACAATCTGTTCATGTAATACACATGTTCCACGCTTCAGGTTGTGTGGAGGGACCCGTCATCAACCTGCTTGACTAAACAATCTGTTCATGTAATACACATGTTCCACGCTTCAGGTTGTGTGGAGGGACCCGTCATCTACCTGCTTGACTAAACAATCTGTTCATGTAATATACATGTTCCATGCTTCAGGTTGTGTGGAGGGACCCGTCATCTACCTGCTTGACTAAACAATCTGTTCATGTAATACACATGTTCCACGCTTCAGGTTGTGTGGAGGGACCCGTCATCTACCTGGTTGACGTTCGACAGTAAAGTCCTCGTCAAAGGCTCCCGTCTCAGTATACACCAGTCTCAGGCCTCACGGTGGGATCTTCGTATAGACTGGGTCAGGCAGTCAGACCAGGGTACTTACACATGTGTTGTCAACACCCACCCAATGATGACGAAAACAGTCAGTCTCGTTGTAGCAGGTAAGCATGACACTCAGTGTTGTCTATAGATAGGCATGTTTGTGATGTGGTACTGCACGATTCTCAAACTTTGATGAAACTTCGAACCGTCAACGTCAAAGAATACTCAGTCTTGATTATCTGTCGAAATAGATTTTATTGGGCGTAAAGGAAAAATGTGATGAAATAATAGGAACTGACAAGCGAATGTTAGAGGTGACACGAGTATTTAGTAGCTTTAAAGGTAGTCATGTCGTACCCTACCGGTAGCTCCACCAACTCACACAGTTAGCATTTCAGAGCAAGTGCGAGTCCAATGCCACACTCACCAACACTCCTGACAATCCCGTGTGGGCTAAACAATCCAATGTGAGACGATACTGTCGATAGCACATTTACTGAACATGTACAAACACTTGAATTAAAAGCATTTTCTGGGAAAAGCTTACATTTGGTATATAGGCATATTATTTTTGCGCAAAAGAAATGTTGATCATTTTTATAAAACTATCAATCACTTTGTCGATACAGGTTAGAACAGTCCACCCACGACCGTCACTGTACACGTACACGTACAGAAGAGAACTAGGATTCCGACTGAAAGACTAACGCAACTCATATGAGGTGCGGAGCGGCGGAACCACTCCAGGGTGCGCGTTGTCGTCATCTAGAGACAGTACGAAAACTATTCAACAGGAGGTTGTCCCAAAACTATATCTGAACTGTCATCGGCACTATGTATATTGTTCTCATAATAAACAATAAACTTTGTGAATGTATTTTAACTGGAATATATAAACAAGGGTTACTGTGTTATTTGTTATTTCCCCTCTTACGATGAACACCATGACTGCATATGGTATGGTCTATGTGTTTATGCAAGTTGCAACATCTGTATAAGTTAACTGACATCTGAAGTTTTATGAGAAAACAGCATGTGAAATGCTGGACGTCCTCGCTGAGAACATCTCTGTGAATTGTGTCTCCATGGGCACTCTATAGTGCTGCTTCCTGATCTCTGTATTTATATAGACAAATAGGAACTCGGCTCAGGCTCGATAAATCAAAACAAGGGGATATGACTTAGACGTTTAACTTCAGCTTTAACCGAGCTGTTACACCGATGATCGGATATGTTTAAAAAGGTTAAATAGCCAAATCTAAACCAGACAAGTAGGAGACCAGTTAGACCGCCTCATATGTTTCAAAATGTTTCGTGGTGGACACGATGAGGGCATTTTGCCGGATCAAAGACAGACAACTGATGTAATTCCCAATGTTGACTTGTGTATCATTTTCACATTTCTTTTTGGGTGTTGTTCAAGTCAGCAATTGGCCATTTGCACGATTTTATGACGGGTACCACCGGTGGACAAGATACCCACAGTGGGTATGTCACCTGTCGACAGTGTCTCATAACTAGAATACGTCAGTTAAAACGAATACCCAGTCCTGACTATCCGCGGAGCATGGTGATCTACTCGCATACCTTATGTCAGGTTTCTGCTGGGTACGAATTGTTTGTTGATTAATTTATTACTATTCGTTTATCATTATGATATAAATGTTATTGTATTAAATAAACCAACCAATTCAAGTTGGGGTGGTCATGTACCTATGTGTTGAGGTTAGGGTAAACTCTTATACCTGGTGAACTCTTATACCTAGTGAACACTTATACCTGGTGAACACTTATACCTAGTGAACATATATACCTGGTGAACATATATACCTGGTGAATACATATACTTGATGAACTCTTATACCTGATGAACTTTACCTGGTGAACTCTTATACCTGATGAAGTTTACCTGGTGAACTATTATACCTCTGCTATGTTAGCTATAACTTAGTAAGAGCCCTCAACTGTCGCCGACCATAGTCCATGTTGACATATTGACATAAGATTTACATATATCACAGTGGAGTTCGAGACTGGCTCGGCACCACAACGACAAACGGATGTAGCGTTTTTTTCAATGTGACCGTCTCCTGACTCTATCATTGAGACGTTAAGATTTCATTGTATATGAATATACCCCGTTTGTAGCTGTTGTCGTACAAACCTGCAGGTAATCGCGTGCAACAAATTGACTGACGCAGAACCCAACACAGGGCAACTATAGGACGACCCTCAAGGTCGGAGTAACGGTCACACTCAACTGTGACCCACTAGACTTTGAACATTGTGCGTATTACGTATATCCTGCAACAGCTGTGTGGTAATTCATATGTTAAGGAATACCAAACCTCGAGCGTCTGTACAGGCTGGTACACACCTGTATAATGTAGTACTTTCAGGACCAAAACATTTATGATTACGGAAATAAATTAGTTAAACCCCTCTTTAACCACAGGGGAGTAATACCTGGTGGAATTTAACATGTTATTAATTGGGTGTCCGTAATACGCTTAACTTGGCCTGCATCGTATGGAAGAACCCAGGTCAGTACGGCAGTGTCGGGCCAATAAGGCTGTTACGGGCAAACACGGCAGCGTCGGGACAATACGGCTGTTACGGGCCAATACGTCAGTGTCGGGACAATATGTCTCTGCTGGACCTATAAGGTTGTGTTGGGCCAATACGGCAGTGTCAGCCCAATACGCTGTTACGGGTCAATACGGTAGTGTCAGGCCAATACGCTGTTACAGGCCAATACGGCAGCGTCGAGTCAATACGGCTGTTGCGGGCCAATTCGGCAGTGGCAGCCCAATACGCTGTTACGGGCAAACACGGCAGTTTCAGGCCAATACGCTGTTACGGGCCAATACGGCGATGTCGGGACAATATGTCTCTGCTGGACCAATAAGATTGTGCTGGGCCAATACGGCGGTGTCAGGCCAATACGCTATTACGGGTTAATATGGCAGTGTCAGGCCAATACGCTATTACAGGCCAATACGCCTGCGTCGGGCCAATACGCTATTACTGGTTAATATGGCAGTGTCAGGCCAATACGCTGTTACAGGCCAATACGCCAGCGTCAGGACAATATTGCTATGTTTAAACGATCCTGCAGGACCAACCCTGTTTTGCGTGTGATTGCATTCTTTACCTGTGACTGTAATCACGTGACAACATACTGATGTCAGCACGTTTTCTTACTGTGGCGTCTTTAGCTTGGTTTATATCCTTGATAGGTACCACTTGGAAACATTTACTTTGGCAGTTAAAGAATTAAAGAATACGTCATTAAATATGCGTTTTTTTATTGACCTTGTGATAAGACATGCTCGGACGTATTGGCCTTCGAGGGCTGTTTCAAGCCATGGTCATGGTCGATCCTTAACAGCGACATATGGAGTATTTCCTTAAATTGGCATAATAGTTTAATTCGAATCGGAAATGGAATGATATTCTTACCCCGCTTTTCTAAGAACGTATTCAAAACAATCGGTATGCAGAGTCGACGTATCAACTTATGTTTGACAAGCAGTTGGATCTCACACAAGAAAAGCGGGCGAGTCTATTATATGGTAGGGAGCATGGCCTTTGTTGTTTTAATTAATCCGGTCCGTTCCGTATGACTAGTGGCCGTATGAGAAATGGGAGTATGACTAATGGGCTACAACCCATCAGTTTCTACTGATGACAGAGTGGCAGTAACCAAACTGACGCCCAGTGGCCTTGAATGACACGCTAGCTGAAGGCATACCCACTATCTGCCATCCCGATGAAAGTCTTCTCGTTATGTTAACACGTATGGATGGAACGGATGGCATATCCACAAGTTTTATATTCTTGAACGACCGGGCAGAGGTAGTGCGTTTCATGATTTTACTGGGTAACATGCTTCACGTGCATGTGGGTTGCGTTTTAGCAAACCCTTTTAAACTGAAACTTTGTTTTACATACCCTGAAATATGCTTTTAAACAATGGCATCATTGACATATCATCATCCTCGATAGCTACATCACTATGATGAAATATATTTGGGGTGATAATTAAGTTCCAAGTGTATATAAGGTGAGGATCTTATTGAACATTTGGCTGGTATATTAATCCGCATCTCATTTTTCTATACACTTGGTGAATAAGCATTGCCAATTCAATCACTAAGCAGTGTCACGTGCCTGCCAACGTGCCCCAATGACGATATTTACATGGCGCTGTGATATAAATATATTGTTGTTCACTGCGGCAGTCTTCAAACGAACAAATCCTGCAGGTCTTTCCGTGACATTTGTGGCAACGTAAGTACCGAACATGTTGACTACACCTTCTCTAATTTAAACTTCTTTAGATGAAGGAAGGTGATATAACGATAAAATAGAATAAAGCTACCGTACAGGAAATTAAACAGTGAACACGGACAAGCTACAATATAAAAATACGATTTATCACAGACAAATATAGCCATAGATTCACAAACCCATGTGTACGTATCACAGTTTGGTACAACAATACTATTAATGTTAAATAGTGAGCGCTATAACTACTTCCCCGTCAGGGTTTTGGCACATGACATTTATACATCGCTGCCGTTAGCTGCTTGTCTCGCTCAGTCCAGTGCCATTCATAGTCCGGGGATGTGTGTCCAGTGTCTTCCACACTTTACCCATCATCCGTGTTAACATCTAATACCGGTCCTGATTTGGAACGAATGAAAACTTTGACATCTCTCCCTAATTAACCATCGTCCTTAGCCAAGCCTCAACCCCTGATCTCCTCACTCAAGAAAAGAATGACGTTTACTTCCGTAGTCTATTCTGGAGTCTCTTGAATATGTTCTGGCGTTTTTTCTTGGGTTTGTCTTCTCCTGCAGAAATAACTCACTTTCACTCATTGTTGAAAAAAATGCATTAAGGGGCATTCGGCTATATTAACACGAGTGTGGATGAAATAAAACTTAAACAGACATCACAACCAAATTGTGTAGAATTGATTTTGAAAAAAAAAAATCAGGCCTAAATGACAGTCATGTCTTTACCACATGAATCCGTTTTCCAATATGCATTACTTTGGAAGGAAATTGACTAAACTTGGGGATCACTGTTTTCTGAAACCTTTAATGTGCAACAATGAATGTGTACACTTTACAGTATGGATCGACGGACCGATTGAATGAAATGATTAACATAAATAGTTACCTACGCCATAACTGGTGACACTTGTACGTATCGATATTTTCTTAACGGTCAAATACCATTTTGGGATCAAGCCAAATCCTGGGGCAACTTGAGTCAGTAGGTTAAATAGAGACACATTTTACAACATGCTAAATGTATTTTGATCAGATCAAACAATACCATGTTTTTGGGGAAAGGCTGGTCTCCAGACGCGCCGGTCCCTCTTTCCGTACATATCTGTGTCATGATGGACGTCAATCGAGGACGCAAAGCGGGGAACACCTGTGTACTGCTGAAACAGAAATGACAACATTAACATATGGAGGTGTGGCAAATATCATTACCATATGGAGGTGTGGCAAATATCATTACCATATGGAGGTGTGGCAAATATCATTACCATATGGAGGTGTGGCAAATATCATTACCATATGGAGGTGTGGCAAATATCATTACCATATGCAGGTGTGGCAAATATCATTACCATATGGAGGTGTGGCAAATACCATTACCATATGCAGGTGTGGCAAATATCATTACCATATGGAGGTGTGGCAAATATCATTACCATATGCAGGTGTGGTAAATATCATTACCATATGGAGGTGTGGCAAATATCATTACCATATGCAGGTGTGGCAAATATCAGGAAACTGCTGTACTAGGATCCTGTGTAGATGATATGTTACAGCCACCCTTCCTCAGACTGGACAAGGTCTTCATTTGTAGAAAAGTCCATGTTTCGGCTGCATTATTCAGGGACCGTTCATAATTTATGGTGGGGGTAGGGGATGATGCTTTGTTTTGAGTAGCTTGTACAATGTGAATGACCCACCTAAAATGTATGTACAAAGTAAGTGAACACCCCACCCCACCCACCCCACCCACCCCCGCATGCCATGTACAAAATCAATGACCCCCACCCCTAACCATTATTTTTAACCATAATATGTTAATATTCGTATGTACAAAATCTATGCCCCCAACCTCCCCAGAACAAAATGAGTGCCCCCAAAAAAAAAAAATCATCGTCACCACCACCCCAGCCATAAGTTATGATCGGTCCCTAAATGAATGCAAACATTTAAGATTACACACATACACGAAACAACATTAACACACACACACACACGCACGTTTCTGTTGTAATGCTGTGTGACGATAGTACAATATCAATTTCAAGTCACAAACAAATAACGAAGGCTACCTAAATGTAGTGGTTGAACACTGAATGCCTCTAAGATAGTAGATACCTAACATAACCTTTCATTACGTGAACACACACTTGTACTTACCTCATGGCCATCTGGTTCGGACAGGAAAACTTGGTTTCTTATATCCTCTACACCTAAACATGATTGAATAAGATACTTTAGTTAACAAATACACTGTGATGAAGGGGCGGTGAGGTAGCCTAGTGGTTAAAACGTTGGCTCGTCACGCCGAAGACCCGGGTTCGAATCCCCACATGGGTACAATGTGTGAAGCCTATTTCTGGTGTTCCCCGCCGTGATGTTGCTGGAATATTGCTAAAAGCGGCGTAAAACCAAACTCACTCACTCACTGTGATGAAAGGTATCATATAGCAATACAAATCATCTTAGCATACATATGCACAAACAGGAAAGTATATTTCCCCTATCACTTCCGGCAAATTTCAAACTTCATACAAAAAATAATTATGAAACCCCAACGCCCCTTCAGGTTGCCCTATCTTTCGGTCATAATCATAATCTATTGGTCAAACACTAAATGGCCTGGCGGGCCGGTGTGCGACATGCGCATCATATCGGAAAGCGCACGTAAAATACCCAAATCATAATCATCGTCATCACGTATATTTCCGTGTCAGTTCAGTTTAAAGAGGCACTGATCTGAAATAATTTTCAAGGGACTACCTACGTGTTGCTTTTCCTGTTGTTTTTTTACCCCGTTGGTACCCGGAAGATATCCCATAATTCTTGACTGGTTAGCTGCGCCAGCCCTAAGCGCATTTAATGGTATCAGGGCGTATCGCCACTCTGATCAAAGATCAAATACAGATTCGTCTTGGAATAAATTCGAATATGTAGTCATTTTTCTGAAACCTTAATTTATCAGTGGCTGAAAAATATATCCATCATGTTTATTTTGACAACAATTTCAAACATTTTGAAGTCAAGTTTCATCTCCTGGAGACTAGTAGAAACTGAAACTGTTCCTCATGGCCTAATTTACCGATTATTACTTTTATTAGCCGTCTTGAACTTGATAGAACAATTAAGTATAGTTGTAAAATGATTGTGGTATTTAGGCATTCAGATTTTCTAATTGAATCATATTTTGCATATACACGCCTATAACGAAAAGGCTTGTGAATACAACTTTGACAGTGTTGTCTGTCTCGCATCGAAGACCGTGCCAATGTTAACGCTAATGTAGCGGAGTGATTCTGTTCAATGCTACAACAAATAGACGACAACAAAATGCAAATAATGTAAATTACAACCGACAAAAGGCATATGAATAATATCAGGCAGTTACCTTGTTCGATATCCAGCAATATCCACAAATAAAAATATACGTTTCTTAATTGCTTGAGTAACATAGTTTAGAGTTTTTCAAAGTGGTCTCACGAACTTTGCAAATTAAAAGTGGTTAATTTATAAACGTATTCTCGGATAATCCTTTAGATCGAGTTTTTATATCAACTGATAATTCCTCTCGTGTTGCGTTTCCACGTGCAAATTACATGATATAAAGTAAACCTTGTGGTGTTAGGGGGCGGTGGGGTAGCCTAGTGGTTAAGGCGTTCACTCGTCACACCGAAGACCCGGTGTCGATTCCCCACATGGGTACAATGTGTGAAGTCCATTTCTGGTGTCCCCGCCGTGATATTGCTGGGATATTGCTAAAAGCGGCGTAAAACCATACTCACTCACTCACTTGTGGTGTTAAACTTGTGTTGTGTCCACGTACAAATCTGAAACATGGACGCCGGTTTATAGCAAGTGTTTCAATTACTCGGGACACCGAGTCCATATGAGCGCCAAAAGAAAAACGGGAACCATTTCTTTAAGGTTTATGGAGATGAGTGTTGCATTCGTACATATATGTGCTGAGTATCCATGCTTCATGATATGGATTGATAAACATACTCCTGGAAATTGTATATATGTCATGCTTCATCTGGGTGATTTCACTCCTCTCTCCTTCCTGCAAAGAACAAAATCAAGAAGAGCATGTAATTAAATGCATGCAGATGTAACAGCAACATGTGTCCCTATTCACAAAACCAGCAGAACAATATACGTCTCTATACACAGTATCAATACAGAAATACTAGTGCACGTCTTTGTACACACAACCAACACAGCCGTATACCTCTCTATACACACAACCAACACATCAATATACCTCTCTATACACATAACCAACACAGCCGTATACCTGTACCTCTCTATACACACAATCAACACATCAATATACCTCTCTATACACAACCAACACATCAATATACCTCTATACACACAACCAACACATCAATATACCTCTATACACACAACTAACACATAAATATAACTCTCTATACACACAACCAACACATCAATATACCTCTATACACACAACCAACACATCAATATACCTCTTTATACACTCAACCAACACAGCCGTATACCTGTACCTCTCTATATACACAACCAACACAGCCGTTTATCTGTACCTTTCTATACACACAACCAACACATCAATATACCTCTCTATATACACAACCAACACATCAATATACCTCTATACACACAACCAACACATCAATATACCTCTTTATACACACAACCAACACAGCCGTATACCTGTACCTCTCTATATACACAACCAGCACAGTCGTATACCTGTACCTCTCTATACACACAACCAACACAACAATATACCTGTACCTCTCTATACACACAACCAACACAGCCGTATACCTGTACCTCTCTATACACACAACCAACACAGCCGTATACCCGTACCTCTCTATACACACAACCAACACAGCCGTATACCATGTACCTCTCTATACACACAACCAACACGGCCATACTGTACCTCTCTATACACACAACAATTCCTCTATACACACACAACCAACACATCAATATACCTCTCTATACACACAACCAACACAACAATATACCTGTACCTACTGTAATACTCTCTATACACACAACCAACACAGCCGTATACCTGTACCTCTCTATACACACAACCAACACAGCCGTATACCTGTACCTCTCTATACACACAACCAACACATCAATATACCTCTCTATACACACAACCAACACAACAATATACCTGTACCTCTCTATACACACAACCAACACAGCCGTATACATGTACCTCTCTATACACACAACCAACACAGCCGTATACCTGTACCTCTCTATACACACAACCAACACAGCCGTATACCTGTACCTCTCTATACACACAACCAACACAACAATATACCTGTACCTCTCTATACACACAACCAACACAGCCGCATACATGTACCTCTCTATACACACAACCAACACAGCCGTATACCTGTACCTCTCTATACACACAACCAACACAGCCGTATACCTGTACCTCTCTATACACACAACCAACACAGCCGTATACCTGTACCTCTCTATACACACAACCAACACAGCCGTATACCTGTACCTCTCTATACACACAACCAACACAGCCGTATACCTGTACCTCTCTATACACACAACCAACACAGCCGTATACCTGCACCTCTCTATACACACAACCAACACAGCCGTATACCTGTACCTCTCTATACACACAACCAACACAATATACAATATACCTCTCTATACACATAACCCAACACATCAATATACCTTATACCTCTCTATACACACAACCAACACATAACACAACCAACACAGCTGTATACCTGTAATGTATACCTGTACCTCTATACACTGTATATACACACAACCAATACAGCTATACAATAATATACACACAACCAACACAGCTGCATACCTGTACCTCTCTATACACACAACTACACTCTCTATACACACAACCAGCACAGCCAACATGCATACCTGTACCTCTCTATACACACAACCAACACAAATATACCTCTATGCGCAGCATACCTGCACCTCTCTATACACACAACCAACACAGCCGTATCCAACACAGCTCCTGTACCTCTATACACACATAACCAACACAGCCGTATACACCTGTACCTCTCTATACACAACCAACACAGCCGTATACCTCTACCTCTCTATACACCTCAACACAACAACAAAGCCGTATACCTACAGTACCTCTCTATACACACGTCAACACAACACACAGCATATACCTGTACCTCTCTATGCACAACCAACACATGCCGTATACCTGTACCTCTATATACACAATAACCAACACAGCCGTATACCTGTACCTCTCTATACACACAACCAACACAGCCGTATACCTGTACCTCCCACAACCAACACAATATCTATACACACAACCAACACAGCCGTATACCTGTACCTCTCTATACGTGTAACCAATCAATACCCTATATACACACAACCAACACAGCAATATATCTCCTGCCTCTATACAACAACCAACACAGCCGTATACCTGTACCTCTCTATACACACAACCAACACAACAATATACCTCTCTATACACATAACCAACACATCAATATACCTCTCTATACACACAACCAACACAGCCGTATACCTGTACCTCTCTATACACACAACCAACACAGCCGTATGCCTGTAATTATCTATACACACAACCAACACATCAATATACCTCTATACACATAACCAACACATAAATATACCTCTCTATACACAACCAACGTCATACCTGTAACCTCTATGCAACACAGCCAACACATCAATGCACCTCTATACACACAACCAACACAGCTGTATACCTGTACCTCTCTATACACACAACCAAATACAAAACAATATACCTCTCTATACACATAACCAACACATCAATATACCTCTCTATACACAATAACCAACACAGCCGTATACCTGTACCTCTATACACAATAACAAAAACGTCAATATATTGTCTCTATACACAATAACCAACACAGCCGTATACCTGTACCTCTCTATACACACAACCAACACAGCCGTATACATGTACCTCTCTATACACACAACCAACACAGCCGTATACCTGTACCTCTCTATACACACAACCAACACAGCCGTATACCTGTACCTCTCTATACACACAACCAACACATCAATATACCTCTCTATACACATAACCAACACATAAATATACCTCTCTATACACACAACCAACACAGCCGTATACCTGCACCTCTCTATACACACAACCAACACAGCCGTATACCTGTACCTCTCTATACACACAACCAACACAACAATATACCTCTCTATACACATAACCAACACATCAATATACCTCTCTATACACACAACCAACACAGCCGTATACCTGTACCTCTCTATACACACAACCAAAACGTCAATATACGTCTCTATACACACAACCAACACAGCCGTATACCTGTACCTCTCTATACACACAACCAACACAACCGTATACCTGAACCTCTCTATACACACAACCAACACAGCCGTATACCTGAACCTCTCTATACACACAACACTCGCAGCCGTATACCTCTCTATACACACAACCAACAGAGCCGTATACCTGTACCTCTCTATACACACAACCAACACAGCCGTATACCTGAACTTCTCTATACACACAACCAACACATCAATATACCTCTCTATACACACAACCAACACATCAATATACGCCTCTATACACACAATCAACACAGCCGTATACCTGAACCTCTCTATTCACAAAACCAACACATCAATATACCCCTCTATACACACAACCAACACAGCCGTATACCTGTACCTCTCTATACACACAACCAACACATCAATATACCTCTCTATACACACAACCAACACATCAATATACCTGAAACTCTCTATACACACAACCAACACAGCCGTATACACGTACCTCTCTATACACACAACCAACACAGCCGTATACCTGTACCTCTCTATACACACAACCAACACATCAATATACCTCTCTATACACATAACCAACACATCAATATACCTCTCTATACACACAACCAACACAGCCGTATACCTGTTCCTCTCTATAAACACAACCAACACAGTCGTATACCTGTACCTCTCTATACACACAACCAACACAACAGTATACCTCTCTATACACATAACCAACTCATCAATATACCTCTCTATACACACAACCAACACAGCCGTATACCTGTACCTCTCTATACACACGGCACCCCTTGAAGAGCAACCTCCTCGTGGTGGGTGCTGGGTAACGCCAATGGCTCTTCGCCCCTGTGTGGACCCGGGGTCGAATAGGTCCACAGCACCCCATTGCTGGTCGTAAGAGGCGAACAAATTGGGCAACCCGTTTGCCGTGGGTTGCATCCCTGTGTCGGCAGAGGAAGGGAGTCTGGTGGTTGAGGATGACGGAACCGGCAATAGTGTTCACTAATCCAACACACCACTTCGACCCTAACTTTGCCTAGACGGGTGGTAGAATAGGCCCGATTCTACCAATCGGCTGGTCACGCCTTGCCCTGTGCATGGAATGTCTATACAAAACGTGGTATTACATAACCCTTTGGACCATTTTCAAAATGTTAACACTATTCTACGAAACAAATTAGCCTCGCAGACCCATGCACAGAAGGCGGTGGCTCATGGGCCAATCTGGTGATGCTGACCTCCGATTTCTGTACGTCTCCAATTGATTGTCATGGACAGAACCATCCTGACCTTTAATCTGGTAGGCAGCTACAGCATTTCATGTCAAATTCGCTGGAGTATAACATCCCCTTATCCCTGTTTTGCAGCTCGGAGACCCGCTGCAATATAAGATCGTCCTTGTTGACACTCCACGGTGGGTGGGGAGAGGGGATGCCGAACCACATTACCCACAACATGGCTTCCCAATACCCCGGTTCAAAACGAAGACATATGGATACCGACAATTCCTCGTCTGACGAGAGTACGCCCCCCCGACCTGACTACTGGCCACGCTTCCTGATTATTGAGGCTTGTGACAAGCAACCTTTGCAATTGAACCCTTTTGCAATCTCCAAAGGTATCGCTGGTATCTGCGGA